GACGTGGTGCTCTTTTCCCCCAAATGAAGATAGTCACAAATAAGAAAGGACGCTGATCGGGTCTCAGTTAAAGGGAGCAGCAAGCTAAAGATAGGAGACCCTCCCCACGCCGTCTTCCAGGCGTCATTTGCCATACACGGAAAGGAAACTGCAGTCAGCTGACCCCTTCTGCTGAGACGGAGTACGCTGTCAAGCGCTCACCATCTGGCTCAGCCCCTGCTCCAGATGGGCTGCCGTAGTAATTTATGGAAGGGTGGCGAGCAACTTGCATGCTCTGGCATGAGTCATTAGAATGCATTAACTTGGGGATTTGCCCCCTCCCCCAACCCCCACTTGCGACAGACGCGAAGACAGGGTGAGTGCTTCTGTACAGTAAACAGAGCAGTCTATTCCGGAAGCAAAAGTCAACATGTCTGTCCTCTCTGAAGGAAAAAAAAAAAAACCAACCAAGCATTCATTCCCTCTTCCCCTCAATTGACTTAATTAACAAAGGTTCAAATGCCCCCACGATGGAGCTTCTAACGAATGTCTGAAGAAGCCTTCTCAATCCAACGTGTCTGAGCATCTGTGATATTGGAACGCCAAAGTCAAGATCAGGAATAATCTGACGCGCCTCGTGCTCACGCTGCTGATAGGCGCCAACAAGTCCATGCTCTCAGAGCAAATCCAAAGGTCAATCAATCTTTCCAACGCAATCCAGGGCCACAGATCATTAGCCCGTTGGTCGTCCCTCTCCCTTCCCCATTACACACAGGCAGTGTGCTTTAGAATGGGAACAGAGTAACAGGGCGCCACAGTTTGCGTCAATCAGATCTCCTTAGTCACTGTCAATTTTTGCCCCACCCTTAGTTGAACATGGCTGTAGTGTGATAGCCGTTTGTTTTTTGTGAATGACAAAATTCTCTTCATTTATTTTCAGCTCGTGTGAGAATGGCTAGCAGATTGGGGAGCCATAGTTTTCCTTTGATCAGGCCAATGACTATTAAAGCACTGGAGAAATTGCTGGGATGTGTGCTAGCCCTGTTTTCAAGGACTGAAAATCAGGACCAGCATGGAAGTTTCTAAACAAAAACATGGCGTCTGGGCTGCTTGTCATCTACAGAACAGGGTTTCCTTATGGAAGCCTGAAAGGGGGGTGTAGCCCTGGGATTGGGAATGGGATAGATGCTATCATTATATTCCTGCTGGGAATGAGAAGTGGAAGAGATTAGCACCCTATCAGAGAGAGTGGCTTTCTGAGGATGGGGTAGGGGGGTATGGGTTGCAGGGGAGGGGACAGGATGGGACAGGACACCAGCTTAGGTGAGCAGGGCAGCTTCTCCACCCCAGGATTGAGTCTGTGCTGCAGATAGGAGTGAGACAGAGCAAGGTGACTCAGACTGTCCTCATAAAGCTTTATTAGATGAGGAAAGTGCATATTGGACAAAACTATGCATGTTAAAATTGCTTGACCCTCACTGTAAGTGCACATACACACCAAAAAAGAAACTAGGCATCTTAGACAGTCTACAATGGCAGTGAGTGTATTCACAAGTTGTAGGATACTATTACTGTGATGCTAAAACAAATTAATTTCTGGTATTTTATTTTTTTCCTTTTTTAAGTTTCATACATTGTGTATTAAATTTTTGTCATTTTTGTCCTCATTACCCTTTCTCATCTCCCTTCCTCTATGTCTAATAGCCCTTTCCCCTTCTACTTTGATTTTTTTTAATGTGACCCACTGAATATACTTATGGCTGCTTGCATGAACATCAGTGGGGAATTCTTTACTGAACATGCACCACTTATCAGAAACTGTACTATAGCACTGAAGGAAGTGATAAACCCTTCCCTAGAACCCCATAATTGTGTGTCACCCCTCAGTGAGAGGTACGACCTCAGAGTCCTTTATGCCTTGCACAATGGCCAAATATTAAATATTACGTAGGTTTTCTACAGGTACCCACAGCTATCTGGAGGGAGTTTATGAATGCTGTAGCCTTGCCAGTCCCTGAAGACAGCATTTTACAGCGCCCTCTCCATCCTCTGGCTCTTGCATTCCTTCTTCCATGTTGTGTTCTTTGAGCTTTAGAGGGTAACATCCCATTTAGGGTCGTTCACTCCACAGTCCCCCTATTCTTTGCCCTTTGACACTTGTGAGTCTTGACATTACTCCTGCCCACTGCAGAGGGCAGACTCTCTGAGGGAGGCTGAGAGCAGCACTAACAAGTAAATATAAACGAATTTAGAATGCAGTTTGACACTGTGTCCAGTTAGCAAACAACAGTTAGGCTCTGCCTCTGAGTTCGATTCCCAGCTTCCCATAAACCAGCTATGGTGGCCTGTACCTGTAATCCCAGTGCTCAGAAGACAGACGGCAGAGTCAAAAGTTCAAGGTCCCCAGGCTGCATAGGAAGATTAAGGCCAGGCTCAGATAGCTGAGACTCTGTCTTCAACTTTAAAAAAAAAAATGTATTACTCTTCCTTTCTTATGACACTGTGCATTAAGGCTACACGGATTATAGGACTAAGTAAAGCCTCCAGCTCCTCTCCTTAAAGAGTTTACGGCGTAAGAGATACACTGACTGATAAGAAGCAAAAGATCCCCAAATGAGACTCTCATAGGTGACTGAAAACCAAAATCAGAAACAGACAGATCCTATTTTATTGGTTGTGATCCACAAAAATTAAAATTATGGTTTTTCCAAAGGTGCTGTTTTTACAGAAGCAGTGCTTGATCTGGGTTTGTTTTCTCGCTTTGTGTTCTCTGTGCTGGAAGGTATGCAACTTGAACAAGACAGTATGTCCCCCTACTGACCATTTTTCAGACTACATGCAAACGTGGCTTTTAGGTAAAGAAAGCCACCAACTTCAGAAGAAGCTTGCCAACCAAGAAGTCAGTCAATCTGTACGCAGGTCAGCAGCAGTCAACCAAAGAAAGTCAGGGGGGAGATGCTCCACTGTGTGCTATGTCGTGTGCTAAACACTCAGAAAAAAAAAATGCAGGAAGATAGAAAAAAAAAAAGAATTGACTCTAGACCTAAAAGATCAGATACGCAGGCTCAAATGTTCAGATAGTGCTTCTGTCAGTCTGTGATGGGGCAGGTTACTGGGAAAAAGATTAAAACCATTACATTTGTACAAATTTGTACACACCATAACACACATACACAGACACACAGACACACACACACAAAGCTGGCTAGGAACCAAAAAGCAGTGTGCCTAGTTTCTTCTTTGCTGGGATTGTTTACTGATGACCGTTGCCCCCCAGGAAGTAGCAGATTCAGAATTCATAGTTGTAGGGAAAAAATGCCCAACTGTAATGAATGTAGGATGCATGTTGGGGCTGGGGGTGGGGAGCCACATGGTGACCCGGAAGTAGAAGTCAGCATCCTTCATCTTGGTTGATGCAGTTCTTTTTTCAAATTCTACTTTAAATTTCTAATTTATACCAATAAATAACTTTCAAACTGCCATGGCGTTTTCTGCCTCTTCTCACATTCTCTCCTCTCTCCATGTCTACCTGTTCCTTCCATTACCTTTTCCTCTGTGTTTTCCCATAGTGCCACAGGATCGCTGTCTCTGTTTCCCACTCTAGATTTCAATATGCTTTAGAAAACTCGGATCGTGTTGCGATAGGACAGCTGGACTTGACAGGCCTTTTTAGTGCTTCACCTCTTAGCCTAAATCTTAGTTAAAATAACTCATATTGCCAGGATACGGCTTTTACAGGATGCATGGTTTTCTGTCAGAATTATGTCTACAAATATCCTGATGTTTTTATTATCTTCTTCACTGATTTTGAGTATTTAGATATAAAACTATTTGTTCTGAGTGTTCCCGAGACATTACATACCAGGAACAGTATTTTGCATAGTGGTTTCATATCGTATTTCACAATTATGCTTGTCTGGGACCCTCGATGTACCTATGGGACACATGGAGGTGGACCTCCCTGTGGAAGTATCCTTATAATCACTCCAGCGACCTTACTGCACCCCTTGGTTATTTCTGAGCTTGTCCTTATTTTATTATTATTTCAATTTATTTTTACTGACTCAAGTTAATTGTTGAGGTCAAATTCCTGAAATCTGGACCTAGCTCCAAGATCTAACAAATCTGCCAACAAACACAAAAATACCCCCAGGTCCCCTTCCCCCCCCCAAAAAAAAACCTCTCAGGATAGTTAAAGAGTTATCAGGCTCACATGAGTGGAGGGACATATTTCTTAAGATAAAGGGCAAGGTACTGTGTTGGGAACGGGCTGAACAATTTGGAAGTGTCCACTCTGTGCATAGTATTCTTGTTTTGCCCCCATGCTTATGTATCCTGGAAATGGTGAGGAAGCCTGTGACAGATGGGAGCAATTGGAGTCCGACTCAAAGCCGGTTAGAAAGGCGTGCCATTGTGAGCCCTCCTGCCACCTTCGTCTCCTAGGTCAACACAAGTTAGATAAATGATCATGTGAGACATCAAATATGGATGAGTGTGTTTGTTACCTAATTGCTAGCGATAGCTAGGTTTTTATCTAGTGAATATAGCCTTGAGCATTCATAACCACTGAGAACAAAATATATAAATATTTTACCCTATTGGGTTAGCAAATGCTCTGTTAATTGGCTGATTCACATTCCTATTCAAGGAGCATCTTGAAATAAATGAAGCTTTTAAATGATACCCCCAGGAAAACTTGGTAAACACACTGTGCCGTTTACTGGAAGATTCTTGAAGTACCTTACAGAAGTATTAAAAGCAAACCTTTAAAAAGATTAGACCTGTCACAGAAGCCATAATTCATCCTTCCCCCGGGACGGACTGACTTAAAACAAGGGAACGTACTCTGACTTTGCTGCCTGCTATACCAAGAGGATAACTGTTTAACTCCCGTAATCCTAAAGCAGTAGCTTGGACCAACCCACTGCACCTGAAAGAGCATGTCTGGTTTCAAATGTCCCCTCTTGTCAGGGCTTCTAGGTCAAGGTCAAGCGAACTAACACCTGGCATGTTCTATCCAGCTCTCGGGTGACAAGTATCCAGGAGATGATGGGGTGCATTCAGAAGCATGTGGACCGTCTCGGCGAACAGTGTACCGCACACAAGGAGTATGCTCTTAAGAAGCAACAATTAGCAGCGTCCGTGGAAGGCGCCCTAAGGAAGGTAATTTCATAAAATAAAATGTCAACCTTTTCTTTGGTGTTCATGGATGGTGTCCAACTGTGAGCATAGTGGGCGGGTGCCCTGTGCCTCCTCAGACTTCCTCTATATCACACAGTAGATCTTAGAACCAAACACGTGGTTGCTCATCAACCACCCCTGCCCCAGGTTGTCAATAATGAACGTCTAATGTAATCTGCCTCCCCAGTCCTGAATGTGTGTGTATGTACAAAGTTACATACACTCCACAGTTATGTTAGCCCCATCAAACATGCACTGAGAGGAGGGACCTTGTTTTCCATGATTCTAGGTATAGTCCCATACTAGCTGTCATGATCATGGCACAACTGAACAGGAGAACTTCAGACAGACAGATAGTTATCAACAATTAGGGGTTTTGTGTTTCTGGGGAAAAAAATTGTCGTCCTCATACTTATTGAACAAAACCGGTGCAAGAAGCATAGTCATCCGCATACAAGCATTCGTGGGAGACTCCTCTCTGCAGAGGGATGCAGTAGCTTCCCGGGGGACCTTTTATTTCATGCCCTCTGGTGACACAATGGTAGCAAACTGTGCTGCAGAGGCTGGGTCTCAAGTGGTCAGTGAGCTTCTCATTTGTTACATTGGATTCATGTGCTTGAACGTACAGGAGACGAGTTAACAGACTTCATAGAGTCTGGCATTCTAGAACGTCGATTAGATGACTTCCCTAGCCTGTTATTGATCCAGTGCCTTGAGATTGTGAGCCGTGTCCTGTTGCCTGGGTCCGGGGAGAGTTTGAGCATAGACACAGCTTTGGTGTTGGATGCCCCGTAGCTTGAGAGTCAAGCTGGTTCGGTGATGGTGGAAAGCCCAGCAGGAGTTTAAACACCTGTAGCTTCTTATATTCCTAGCTGTGGAAAGTGCATTCTCCAGAAAGCAAGGGGATGATGAAGTAAGCAACTTGAGTGGAATAAGCCCTTGCTGGGTCACCTTAGCCTTTGGTTCTTGTGAACCAAAGATCAAATCACAGTTCCCTCAGTTCAACTGTGAAATGATTCGAGTAGGTCCCTGCTTTCACTAGCATCTGGACAAAGTGTTTCCCAGAGCTCCTCAGCCTCAAACACGACAGCCCGTAAGATATTCTTACCCCTTACTTTAGAATGCTTGCTCAGATTGGACAGCAAATTGGTCTCATTCTACCTACAGGTGAGTTCATCTCTGCCAATATGTTGCATTATCATCTTTTGTAGGTAATACAGAAAAGATCTTCAAAGATGTGTATGGATGATAGTTCGCAGTCATTGCTGTTAATAAAAAGATGTATTCTCGAATGTTGCAAGTATAGCATCACATGAAGATGGGCATTATCAAGATATGAAATTCTTTAATATTTAAGCTATTTTAGTTCAAAATTGATACACACTTAAAATGCAATGGCAATGTATGAAATAATATTTTCTTATATGTACATACCTATACATAAGTATATATTATTAAGACTTCAATATATTCTCTGTTCCTCAAGGTGGAAATGTCAATTCAGGAAATCAGGCCAGTTCTTTCTAACACACTGGTTGTCGGTTCCAGCCCTTCTGAGTCAGAGAAGATTTTGAATAAATATCTGGAATTAGACATCCAAGCCAAGGTAATTGAAAGTTATTATTAGGATCATAATGTTATAAATAATTATTTAAAAATATTTTTTCAAGGTTATGGAACTTAATCCCAGCTCCCTTGAGAGAAGCAATTCTAAGTTAATGTAGAATTGATAATGGCATAGAAAACCACAGTATTGTGTGCCTCTATATGGTTTGTACTTTTGTGTCCATTTATTAGTGTATTTATACTCTTTGCAACTGTGGTTTCAGGTACTTATCTGGCTTCTGTTTCTTGCTTGGGAGGTGCTAGCAACTCTTCCTAGGTGCCAGATGAGGCAGGGAAGCTCTTCTCTAAGACTATTTGTGGTTTTCTGCAAGAACAAGTCACACAAGAAAATGTCCAGAAACGACACTTGTCACTGTAATCTTTGATGAGATGAATCAAAACCACAGCCTTGTTTCACCCTCTAATTTCAGACACTGAGTGCCCCGTCCCCAACTGGCAGCATCTCCAGCTCTGCCCCTGTCCTTGAGGCTTAGATTTCATGATTCCTGCTAGAGCAATGGTTTTCTGCCTTCCTATGCTGCCATAGTTTACTACAGTTCCTCATGCTGTGGTGACCCCCACCATAAATTATTTTTGTTGCTGCTTCATAACTGTAGTATTGTTACTGTTATGAATTATAATATAAATATAAGATGCAGGATATCTGACATATGACATGTTATCTGAGAAACGGTTGTGACCCACAGGTTGCCTGCAGGAATTCAGAAAAGTGAGTGCCTTCCCACAGCTCATGCTCACCTGCTTCAGCAGGAGAAGCCCTGTATCTTCAGGTTTCCAAAGAAGGCCTTCCTCTGCACAGTGCCCTCCCTGCAGACAGACACCCCTGTCTCCACAGACCACTCTCTGCACAGCACCCTCCCTGCAGACAGACACCCCTGTCTCCACAGACTTCTCTCTGAACAGTGGCCTCACTGCAGACAGACAGACATGTTTTCCTTTTCTTCTTTTTACAATGGGATTTAGAAAAAAAAATCATTTGAAATATTTAAGCCATGTCTGGCAGCATTCCCCTTTTCAATTCAGAAGCCCACGAGAGAACTCAGGAAATCCCGTGCTCCTTTTTGTCTTGCAGAGTGTTGTCGCAGCACAGGCTTGCAAATGCGATTCCACACAGTCCCTGAAGAGCATATTAAGCACTAACTAGGGAAGGTATCCAAGGAGAGCACGGGAATTCCTCGTTAATTCTGCTCGGTTCCTCGCTTGTTCTCAGGAAAATTTCCAGGGCTCTTTCTGTGGCTCTTAGCCATGTACCACTTGACGATGCCGAGACGCTCGGAGAAACAAACGTGCTCTTGTGTGACTCAGCCGTTGTTGTGCCAACGTCACGGTGTACACTTGCACAGCCATGGGCAGAACAGGTCAGCCACTAGTCAGGGTTCCTCGGCGCAGCAGAGAGATGTCAACGCCGTGTTTGAAGCCACGGCCAGCACAAGCAGGATACTCTTTTACAGCACATTTTTCATATGTGTAGAAGAACGCGCTAACAATGAAAATACCGTATAGTAAATATACAAAGCAGCAACGTAGTTAGCAGGCGTTATGTGAAGCACATAATTACATGTGTGCACTTTTATGTGACTGGCAGTAATATGTTTGTTTACACACCGTCAGAATAGACATGCAAATAATGTATTGAGAGGGATCAGAAGGACCGGTTCTCCCTGAGGACAATTAGCTAGGAGTTGAGCAAGCGCTGTTAGATCCCATTAACAAGAGCTAGTTCCAGGACAGGCTTCAAAGCCACAGAGAAACCCTGTCTCAACCCCCCCCCCCCCCCAAAAAAAAGAATGCTAATGTTATGACAGGTCTTTATTGGAAGCAACTTTTAATGTTTACTTTCCCCTCAAATAGGCTAAGCTACTGCTCTCCCCCCAGCCCCCCGCCAGTTTAAGCCTTTGATTGACAGGGGCTGTCAGGCCCTTCTTGAGGCCTGCCACCTTGACTGGGGAAGCTGTCAGCTGAACAGCTCCTCTTTTGGCTACTGGCTAAACGGCCATCATGAAGTCTTGGTTGCTTTGAGCCTTTCGTGAATACCTTAAGGAAAGTAGATACACAAGGAACACAGCAATCGGGACTGTGGCTAAAGCCACTGACTTCTGCTTCTGGAGGCCTGGCTGTAGACCAGTGGTTCTCAGCCTGTGGGTCCGTGACCTCTCTGGGGGGTCAAACGACCCTTTCCCAGGGGTCATATGTCAGATATCCTGCATATCGGATATTTACATTACGATTTATAACGGTAGCAAAATTATAGTTATGAAGTAGCAATAAAAATCATTTTATGATTAGGGGGTCACCAGCACACGAGGAACTGTATTGAGGGGTCACAGCATCAGGAAGGTTGAGAGCCACTGCTGGTCCAGCTATACCATCACCAGAACAACCTCTCTTGAGAGGTACCCTCCCTGATGGCCCTACCCAGAGCTTCCTGAAGGACTTTTTACCTCACCCTACTCCCCCCAGCCTCCCATTGTTTCTGAGCCTGGCAATAGCAGTTCTCAGTAAGGAAGAAGAGGACCTTCCCTAATGATTCAGCAGAAAGCTTGGGAGGCTCTACCTATAGGAGGCTTGTGATTGGCACTTGTAGAAGCTGTGGTTGGTGGAAGAGGAAAGTATACATATCCAGGCTGTCACTAATGACATCAAAGTCCAAGCACCAACATGCCATGTTCCTTCCCTTGCCTACAGGCTGTTGGCGGCCATGGTGGACTTAGTATGAGGGGCTTCCCTTCCTCATGATGTCCCCTGTGCTGCAACAGTAGGCCAGAAGAAATGCCTACTCTCTCAGTTTGATAGTGGTCTATATTATGGGTAGAACAGGCTAGACTAATTGTATAAAGAGCAGGTTAGACCACTGGGCCTTCCAGCATCGGTGCAGAGGCAGCAGCAGCAAAGAAGAGGTGGAATTGAAGAGGTCCAGAAAGTGCCTAGAGGCGGAAGGCCTGGCCTCAGTCCAAGTTGTAATAAGTCAGACAAGAGTTCCACAGCAATACCAATGGTGGAATTACTGTAGCTAAGAAAGTTGAAAACTCCCTAGAAACCCAGAGGCAGAGGAGCTGAGAGTTCAAACACTGTGAACCAGGCTTGTGGAAGAGTTCAAGAGCTCCTCCAAAGGCCGAGGAGAGTCATAGCACAGAGCAGCTCAAGAACTGGAAACCGGCTACCGGGTCCTGATTCTCTGAACCCCAGAGCAATAGGCCTCCGTCTTAACGCTTGAGGCCTTCAGCTTTCGCCAGAGCCGGAGGACTGGAGAGAGTTTTCAGTTTCCAGTGCCCTTTGTTCCTTCCTATTTGGAATTCTGAAAGTTGTGCCTTTCTCTGATTGAGGAAATTCTCAGTACAAGTTCAATTAATAACCGTAATAGATGGATGTGCCGAAGGGTAATGGAATGTGATGTTCACAATTCCCCCGTCGGCTCCTGACCCTGTGCGCTCTGCTTCCCTAGGAGACAGCACACACATTAGAAGCAGCTGCGGAAATCATGGCAGGGAAAAATGAACTTGAACTCGATGAAGGGAAACTGCTTTCTTTTAAAGCAAAATGCCTAGAAGAAGAATTAAGCACACTTGGTCGAAGCATCAGCTACAGGTCACGAGTCCTACAAACTTATGTGGCATTTCGAAAGTCATCAGAAGAGGTATGGTGTAATGTTGACCCGCTTCAGCAAGATGGCCTCTGCCCATCTTTCTGCTCTCTGTGGGCATTGACGTCCACCCAGCTGGAGAGTTGTGTCTCTGCCAATGCCTGTATTTATTTATGTATCCCTTATTCTTCAAGGCACTATGCAAAACCCCAAAGAGTAGGTAATCTTTCCTAGAATAATATAAATAGGTCTGCATAAATAATGTATTATAACATGTTTTGAGCATCCTTATAGACACTTACAATATCTTAAATAAAGATCAAAATTATTATGAAAATACTCATCATTTAGATCACAGATCTTTTTGAATACTGACTGTAGTGGAGCAGTTAAAAAAGCATTTTGTTATTATTATTAATTATGTGTATATGTGAGTGTGTGGTTTGTGTGGATGTAAAGGCAGTGCCCACAGAGGTAAGAGGAAGATTCCAGATTCCCTGGATCTGGAGTTATAGGGAATTGTGAGCTACTTGATGTAGGTGATGGATACCAAACTCAGATCCTCTGTAAGAGCAACATATGCTCTTGACTGCTGATCCATCTCTCCAGGACCAAGGCATGGCTCATTCAAAATAAACAGAACAGGAAGATACAGGTGGCTGACTCATTCTTGAACCTATCTTGTTTGATGCCTGGATGACTTTAATGTTTCCGCCAAGTGTCTGAAGCTTCACTTTGATGTGCCTCTGGTAATCTCTACTATTCCCTTGAGCACGCTAAGATTGCCACTCTCAGAGGAACGTTTCTTGAGGGTGACATCAGCCACAGGGAAGTCTGAATCTGCTCCTCGCTTAGTTCTGGTTCCAGGGAACCTTGTACAAATGCAGATAACTCTTCTGTGTAGGGGTTACAGACACTGTGTTAATGGGAGCCAGGTCCACTCCGGAGTACAGCTGTCTAAAGTTAGGTAGCCTGTTTGGCTTCTGCTGTCTCACTTCTGCCTTCCTAATGTCCTCATCCCCTCTTCCTGCCGCCATCCTAACAGTGCTCCACCCTAACCCAACCTTGACGTTAGAGCAGCTACAAAGCAAATGCACGTTCTCTGCATCATCACAGCCAAAATTGTACCCACTTAGTATCGCGTTAAGGGTCTCCTTCCTCGTCCCGGTCTGAGATCCTCTGCAGAAATGGAGCGTAGGTTTATAATGATACTTCCTAAAAACGCCACATGTCCCTCTGTCTTCCCACTCTCGGTCTCCTGCCCTACCTGATTGAGCTTTCTATCCTAATCCTGGCGCTGCTCCCATCTGTCACTTCCTTATAAGTCTGGCTTTTTCTTTTTTTCTCATCAGTACTTGGTTTCTCATTCCCATTATGCTCTTATGAACCAACTCCCTGTCTTTACCCCATATGAATCCGACCAACTCCTGACGCTTGACCAGTCTAACACTCTACTCAGCTTGTTTGTGATCGCTTCCAGGCACTCTTCCAGAAAAGCAGAGAGTTCTGAGGACCAGTGTGGTCACTAATTTATGGATCTCTCTCTCTCTCTCTCCCCGCCCCCCGCTGGGCACCCCATGCACTCCCTACTTTGCTTATATTGCTTGATGATTCTCAGTTTCCATCCCCAAATCTCAGCTGGCATCTTTGGAATTTAAGCACGGTGGGGAACAAGGCGGTGAGGCTCACTATCTTGACTTCCTTCTCAACTTACTGATGTATTCCCCCACCATTGTGCCAGTAAAGTGCACAGCCCTACCTAGCCCTGCTCAGTAAGAGTCTCTCCCTGGGTAGCCTATCTACTTTGAAGTCTAACTCTTAAATCTGCCTTCCCCGTTAGTTCTTTCTGGGCTTAGTCTATAGTAAGAGTCTTGTTCTCACCAAATCTGTTCCTCTGTCATTTTCCTTCCCCTCAGTGTAAACTCTCAGAATGGGAAGATGACATTCCTCTGCACCCACTCATCCTCTGTAGACTTCACCCCACTGCAATTTGGTTCCCTTGCCTGTCGGCCCTGCCGTGTGTCAGCTCTTCTTATCTTAGCATTACGCGTATCTTAGAGATACCTACTATGAGAAACTGAAATGTATTTTCAGACCTCATCCCGCTCGAGTTTAACTTAGCTGCCTACTCTTATCTCCTTCAATGTTTATGGAAATTATTGAAATGTGCTTTATTTAACGTAAAATTCACTATGTTCCAATGCAGTGATGGTTTGTATATTTATTGACTTGTGCAACCATTAAAGCATGCTAGTTTGAAAATTGTCCCTACTCTTTATAAAGAGCTTTATGAGATGTTTTAGTCAGTCCTGATGCAGGGTCTTCTCTAACCTGTCTTTCAATGAGCACTTCCTCTGTATCAGGTCCCGTGCTTTAATTCCTGATTTTATTGTCTTCGTGGTTTCTGTGTCTTTGTTACCTGTGTCGTCACTGTTTTACAAGTGAGGCAGAATGAGGCCCACTGAAGTTAGGCATACATCATCAGGTGGCTAGTCAAACATGGTGGCTTCCGTCACCCTTCCCATTCCTGTTTCAAAGGCCACACTCTCTTATGTCTACTGAGACAGCCTCAGAGATCTCTGCACCCCTTTCTCCCAGTTTGCTCTGGGGTTTCCCTAGTCCAAGTCTTTATCACTGGCCACTGTTTGATGTTGGTTGCATCAAACTGGTGGGGATGTGTCGAGTTCTCTTGGATACAGTAGAAAGCAAGATGAAACTCCTGCCCAGCCTTATCCCAGGACAAACATCTTTCAGGACTCCTTGCTGGCCAGCTGAGCAATCCACTCTCTATCCACACCTATGGCATGCATCTTCCCTGATGCAGCCAAGACTTCCACACTTGGGCTTTTACCCCAGTTCCTTCCATCCGAGACCTTCTCCCTTCCCTCTTACCCTAGGAAGGGGCAGACCAAATGTCATGTGCTGGGAAATTTTTCTGTGCTTACATGGAGCTGTTTTCCCCTTCCTGTCCCTATAACGCAGCGCACTTGTGTATACACAGGCCTATCTTTGATCTAACAGTTTGCTTACTGGTCTTCTCACAGAACTAACTTTGGTCTCCAAGGAAATGAACACTTCTTAGTAAGATATCTTAGAATCCTCCATGGACAGGGTAGCCTTTGATGTAGTTCACTAGGGATAAATAGAAGAAGAAAGATCAGGAAATGATGGTATGTGCTCAGGAGACAGGTATCAATAAGGCAAGAAAAAATATGGAAATCAGGAAAGAACCCCTGACCCTGAGCTAGTGCAGGCTGGCCTAAGTTTATTTCAACTGAGAATCATCTTAAAATCTTCAAAGTATAGTACCTAGTGCCTGAGATTTCATACCATGTTTCAATGGCTTTCTTAACTTATGAGTTCCACCAGTCTTATCTTATTAGTCATTAAATATTATTCAAAAGGCATACAAATTAGTTACAAATGCTTTCTGCTAACTCTATATCACCCCATTACTTATTAATCTATAGTTACACATTTGCTTGTGTATTAACTCTGCTCAGGAGAGTAATTTAAAATAATTGAGTCCTGCTAACATTGGTTAGCAAATGCTAAAATATAGTTCTAGAGAGGCAAAGTAGTATGTCTTAATAAGATTAGCTTGTGAAGGTATTTAAAATTAATGCGCCCACAGAAAAGTTGTCCTTATTCATACCCTTTCAATTTGGTTCACCATGAAATCAAATTGTAAAATCTAATTGTACAGTAAAGTGCTCAGCTGCAAATGGGTGTGTACTTCACCCACCCCCTATCGAGGCACAAAGAGTGAGGAGAGAGTGTAATGGCCAGGGACCAGGGAGGACAGCAGGAGAATAGCGTCCTCTGGGCAGTACTGGGGTTACCTCCACAAAAGCAAGCCAGCCAATGTTCTAGCATGGAAGATGAGGGAGGGCTCATGAGCTCCTACCTCTGAGGAGCTATTGATAGCTGATGGCTACGGGGGTCGGGGAGAGTCGGTTTTCTTTTTGTATTATTCTTACTGTATTGTATTGTATTATATTGCATTGCATTGTATTTCGATGTATGTGTATGGGTGTTTTACTTGTGTGCATCCCCTGTGTATGTCCTGTATTCTTGTTATCTGTGGAGGTCAGAGAAGGCTTAAGATCCACTATGGCTGGAGCTACAGGTAGTTGAGAGCTGTCTCATGAGTGCTGGGAATTGGACTTGAGTCCTGTGGAAGAGCAGCCATTGTTCTTAACCACGGAGCCATCTCTATATCCCTGAGTCAGCTTTCTTTAAGGGCGTAGCTGGTAGATTGACCGTGTTCTGTTGGTTGGTTCCATGCCCATGAGTAGATATGGGTATCACTAATTGGACTCTGGTGAATATATTTATAAAGCAAAGATGAGGAAAAGGACTGGGGAGGGAGTGAGGAGGTGGAGCTGGATTTGGGAAACTTAGAGAAGTAGGTGGTGAATATGATTCAAACACATCATCTTACATTCTCAAATAATTAACAAAAATATTACATTAAAATGAATGAATCATAATACACTGAGTAAAAATTGCCTTCTGCTGAATTCCTTTTTTTCCTGATTTGTATTCCTTCATTTTTTTTACTTGTGCTTTAGCTTTCTTTGTTTGTTTTTCGAGACAGGGTTTCTCTGTGGCTTTGGAGCCTGTCCTGGAACTAGCTCTGTAGACCAGGCTGGTCTCGAACTCACAGAGATCCGCCTGCCTCTGCCTCCCGAGTGCTGGGATTAAAGGCGTGCGCCACCACCGCCCGGCTTTATTTGTGCTTTTTTATTATAAAACTCAGTTTTAAACAGAGCAGCCGCTTGATCTCTGAAATAAATTATTCTAATTGTAAAATATACATAAAAATAATCTGTGGTACAATAAATATTTCTGATTGGCAATAAACTTATCAACTCACTTTGCCACCCAGCGGAAGTCCTGTCTGTGGGTTACGGAACCAGATTTCCATGCTTTTCAGTAACCTGAAAATAGTCACTGTTTATTTAAGGAATGCTAAAAGTGTAGTTTCCACTTAATTTTATACAGACTTCGAATGGAATCTGTGTTCTTTCTACTTAATAAATTTCTTTGCTCTCATCTTCCTCCTCCTTGTTTCAGGTGGAGGAGCAGCTTCAGAGACTAACGGCGTTTTATCTGACCAAAGTCCCTCCGAGCGATGAAGACGCTGCTGAAGTCAAGTGCTGGTCCAGCTCTGCTGAGAGGAGATGGCAGTTGTTTTTAAAGAAGAGTTTTGTGACCCAGGACTTGGGACTTGAGTTCCTTAACTTAGTAAATATGGTGAGAATAACACTAAGTTAGCCAATGCCTTTTGTAGATCTTAATTCCTCAAAGTCAAGATCGTACATTCCAAAGTTCACCTTGTCCATTAATCGGCCCTGCTGGCAGAGGGTGGTCTTTTCAGCTTCCCTCATGCTGGACTCGTTCTGAAGCCCAACATTTATAAGCCTTGGGGTGGCAGAGCCCTCATATCACAGGAAAACCATTCTAGCTCTTCTGATTCAAACGCTGCATATAGAGTCCTCAGAAGTCTGTCCCAAAGTCCTGAGTTACATTGTTGACAGCAAGGTCTTTAAAAATTCCCAGGGACCAAAGAAAATAACTGTGATAAATCTTTGTTCTAGAGAATTTCTTCTCATTTTAACAGATCCTCTTTTTTAAATTATAATTAGCTTACAAAATAGTAGGTTTCCAAAGATTGATTTTATTTGCTTAAAACTGCGTCCAACCTTTTGTTCTCCCTGCTTCCCTGCCCCCCTTCAGCCTCTTCACTCCAGGGTTCCCTCCCTCTGTGTTCACACTGTGATCTATTATCCCCCCCCTTCAGCACCCCCTAAGCCCTAGTTGTCCTGAGTTAAATAAGCAAAATATCTTAGGACCTTTACACAGCCGCTCATCCACCTGAAGTTGCCTACAGAATTCTGACAGCAAAACTACTTCACTTCCCCCTCAGAACCATGTGAATTTCCCCAAAGAAACAGTTCATTTTATTGTTGGGAAAATGCTAGCTGTTAAAAAAAGAATGTTTTTAAAATCTTAAGTAAGTCCATCATCATATCTCTGGTTCTGAGCCTCTGTAGCAATGCAGCAACAAAACCATTCATAGGTAATTTCTCCTGCATACGAAATTCTACCCAACTTTGAAAGCCCTTGCTATGTTTAACATGAGTCTTTTCTACAACTGCATATTTACATACTTATCATTTATGGTGTACTTTAATTTCTCCCTTCAGGCTGATCTGCTTTGCCAAAGTTTTCTACTTACTAATGCCATTCATGAAATGGAACCAGAAGCTAACCTACAACCAACCAGGATGTTTTCTTGTAGTTGAAACGTGAGGGGGCTAACAGTTTAAGCAATGATCTCTCCTTGCTGTACAGTGGTGAGCCACTGCCACCTGTATGGCCTCCTTAATCCTAGCTCCGGTCTGGCCAGGGCTCTCTATACCAGCCCTTGAGCATTTCCATAAAGACGTAGCCTGTGTGTTTCTTGCCTGATTTCCTTCGGCCTTAGCCTACGATTCATCCTGTTAAGCTAATTTGGGTCTGTCTACTCTATTAACTGTTTCTCTTGGGTTTCATTCTGTAGACTTATCACAAGCCATTCCTTGATAGCTGTAATTACTTCTTTAGCAAAAATGTCTGAAAGGAAGATTGACATCCTAATTCCTGAAGTAATCTATCGATTAACAGTTAAAATAAAAAAATGCAGCCATTAATGCTTCCAATATATCTTACCCTAATCATCACTGTACACACACACACACACACACACACACACACACACACAGAGAGAGAGAGAGAGAGAGAGAGAGAGAGAGAGAGAGAGAGAGAGAGAAAGAGTGTTTCATAATGAGAAACTTTCTCATTAAGATACCCGAAGGGCTTACCCCCCATACCCTATAAGACACTTAACCATGGTTTGGCCCAACTCCTCCGAGTCCAGCGATTGAGGCATTCTTCTCGAGTGCTCTGTAAGCAGAATCTAACCACTCTGACTGTCTGTGTGAAACTTATCAGTCTGATCCCGAATGACCCTCATTTGAGAATCAGGCCATTTCCCTTTCTCTGCTGTTCCAAACCTTCTTTCTGTAGATGTTTAAGGATGACTGACATTTGCCATTTTCTTGAGAGCTGTGATCTGAATCTGGGACAGAACTCACTTCGCAGATTTGGGTTTTAACCCTCTCATCTTTTTTTCTTGGTTTTAACTTTTGTTGTTTGAAGAACATTCGTGATCAGCCTATAGAGAACCAAAACATTCATTAAATAGTTATAAATTAGATACCACCCTTCTTAAACACCAGAAAAATATTGTCAAACAATTTATCCATGTTCCTACATATTTGCTTCTCTTAGTATAACTCCCTTCATCTCTAGCTTACGTGATTTTAATTTAAATTACAAGGGAATCAAGTCATTTGCAAACTGTGTATTTTTGTGTGGTCATTTAATTGCTGAATCTTAGAAATCCTTTCAATTCTGGAAATGCCAGGTGGTCTAAAATGAGATAGAGTTGTTGACGTTTTCCTTCACCTTCAAGCTGTCTTGGGCCACATTAATCTAGGGTGTTTAGCTTGTGCCAGAGTTACCTCTGTCACCTGCATCTAGAGGTGTTTCTGCTGTATGGTTTTTCCTCTTGCCTCTTGATCTGCAACCCTGTCTTTTATCCAAGTTGTTGAATACTTAGCAAGTGTTAGGTGTCACTCCTATATAAATAATCAGATAGTGTTATCTTCTTGTGGGAAGGGTTGCAGCAAGAAATGCATCCAAACTCATATCTTGAATCTAGGTCCAAATGAACAGGCTGCTATGAAATCCTGATTCATAATTGTTCCTGGAGATAGCTCATATCTTCCCACAGCTTCTTGGTAGTCTTGTGCCTTCAGTTCATCATTGTTAGCATTTCAGAAGTCGTGTGATAAGTTCTTTATTAATAAAATATTAAGTCTACATAATAATTAACTTCACTGATGTATTGACATTTTGGTAGGTGAAATTGCTGACAAGGATGCTTTTCCTCTCCCTATCTGCACAGCAGCAGTTTTGTTAGTGCACATTGATGTGTGGTGAGGGGCTTGGTTACAGTAGAAAGATGGAAGCTGGCTCTTTCTATCGAGTTGGGTGTGTTTCTGTGACTGGTATTTAGAAACTTGAAATTGATGGGTTTTTTTTTCAATATAAAGTTCATCTGAATCAGATTAATTGACTTTAGCCAGAATTCTGGCAAATGAACTTGCCAGCTTATTAGTTTGCAGTGGGGAAAACTGAGAATTCCGTCGAGTGTTAGCCTTCTTGCTCCCAAGGCATCCAAAAACAAAACAAAACAAAACAGCAAGAGATCAGAGAACAGTACAGGACTGAATATACATTTAAAGCAAATGGGTAATTTAATGCCTTCTTTAGACTACATAACCACACAATTTTCCATGTGGTATACTGAAGTAAAGGGAGGATAGGTTTACTAAAGAGACTAAGGGCAAATGGTTGGTCTCCTGGAGTGGACAAAACACCAACTCCACTGAATACAGAATCACTTCTTGTATCCTGCTCGCTAACCCTCAACACGTCTTAGAGTAGCCTGCCTTTTCTAGACCTTACTCAGACCACTGTATGCTGATGACTGTAGTTGTCTTCTATAAAACACAATTCCCAGCTAATATTGCATTGAATAATATTCTATACTTTAATAGCTTCTTAATAATATATCAAAGCTATTCCAACCTTATTTATACCATATATGAACATGTAGTGTAGTTTTTCCCACTGTACTTGTCTAATGTCTTTAATAATTTATTATATTTTATAAATCACAGTGGCAGAGTTTATCCTTTTATTATTAGATGCCCTCCTAGACCACTAAAATACTAATGAGGTCTTTAAAGATCTTGCTGTTGATGTGCAAGCAGAGAATATAGGTCTAACCACAACTGTGCCTCTGCGCACGAGACCAGGCTTATCAGTCTAAACTGTATCCTGCCCTGGTGTGATAAAGTACTTGCCACCTAAAATAGCTGAATGCGAAAGGAAAATGTGTCTCTTAGGAAAGAAAGCCATTACATGGATTATTAATTCAACAGGCAAAAGAGAATGAGATATTCAATGCTAAAGATGAAATGCGTGTCATGAAGAACACTGTGGAAAAGCAAACAACCGGGAGGGAGGAGCTCAGCCGTCTTCGAATGGCATGGTACCTCAAAGCCAGCGGAGGCAAGCCTGTGGGGCAGCAGTGGGAGACCTTCAAAGAGAAACTGAAGAAGGTAAGAGGGCGGGCTGGGCACTGGCAGGGTAGACTGGTCGCCTGGCATACATAAAGCTCTGGGTGTGAACCTTAGCACCAAAACCAAGAGACCAAAAGGAATGTCGAAGGCTGCCTTTCAAAGAGTAAATTCTGATATGTGCAAAGTTGTAGAATCTCAAAGCCATCCAGCATCAGAAGACACAAATTGTGTGGTTCTGCTCATTTGCAAGCATGGAGTCAAATTCATAGAGATAAAGGTCAGAATGGACGCTCCCCGGGGGTGCAAGAGGGGAAGAGGGAATGGGTGGGGTGTTGCTTAACAGGATCTGTACAGGTGGATGATGGTGCTGGCAGCTGCACAGTAATGTGTATGTCTTGATGACACTTCATTGCACATTTAGCAATGGTAACAACTGTGCAGTTTGTTATATGTTACCATGGTGAGCAATGGTAAAAATTGTGCATGTTACCATGGTGTGAAAAAGAACAACAAAAATAACACAGGAAATGAAGAGCCTCGTGTAACCTCACTGGTGAGGTCAGGGTTTGCAGGGGGTCAAAAAGCGTCATGGCACACCATGTCACCACCGAAGTGACCACATTGCTGAATTGTCAGAAACACGTTCATAATTGTCGATGTCTGTTTCAGACTACTCACAACGTAAAACTTCTCCACGAAGTTCTTATGCCCGTCTCTGCCCTTGACCTTGGAGGGAGCCTCCAGACGATGTCAGATCTGCGAAGAAGGTGGAATGCTATGAAGCCCCAGCTTCAGGTGAAGATGCGAATGCGTGGGTTTGGGTGAATGGAAAATCGTTCCCAACTCCCCAGATCCAATAAGCTTCCTTCTTCTTCTAAAAAAGTACCCTTTTTGATCTAAAAACCCCTGTAACAACGTATTTTCTTACTATTCCCCTATAAATTTTTGTATTTGATGATACCCAAACATACTGAATTCTGAATATATTTTCATTTTACCTACATTAATTTAATTTATATTTCTAACTAATTGATTAGTATATTCACCTTACAGTTCCTGACTTAGGGAGTGTTTTAAATTACAACATCTCAGAACAAGATCGGCAACCTCTAACCTAGAAGCTCTGTTGTCGTTGGCCCCCACATCGCTGGGCTGTCGCTGCTGCCACACACCAGCATCCCAGCTCCTACCGCACTCCCTTCCTGTCTCCATAGCCTCCACCCTGTGTTCCTGCCACTCCCGGACACAACCACCAAGGCTGGTTGACTGTCGGAGCGCCCTCCGTGGACTCGGTCGTTTACTTATCCATTTATTTATTTGGTTTTTGTTTTTGTTTTGTTTTTGTTTTTTTGAGACAAGAGTCTTAAGTGGCCCAGGCTGACATCAAACTTGCTATATAGCCAAGAGTGACCTTGAACTCTTGACCCTTTTTTCTCCATCTTTCTTGTCCTGACTCACAAACATACACTATTGGATTTGGGGGTTTTGCTGAAAAACTAAGATGCATCTAATTATTACCACTTAATATGTATTTGCTTTAAGGAATTCCAGAGTTAGAGGTTTTGACATTCCTGTGGGAAACATCTAACTGTAGGTTCTGTTAAGACAAGACATATATGAAATACAATCACTACACTCTGCATATATATATATATATATATATATATATATATATATCATCACTATCGACAACAAACGCTCCTATTCCAACTTCCAATAAGTATCAACTAGCCCAGTTTGCTATATCCTGTGTGTTACACGTACTTATCTTTTGGTGTGTATTTGCATGTATGCATGACTTCTTATTTAGGATCCATGGCTAAGGTTACTTAGCTTTGTCGTCTGTCATCATGATGTGTGTCATCTGTTTGGGGTCCGTATACTTGATTTGAACTTGGCCATCTGATGCAAGTCAGTCTTGTGAAAATCATCTCCTACGGCATTTCCTTTACTTTTTCTTTTGATACGAGAATCCGCTCCCGGGATAGCAGTAGAATTCTCCTTAAGCAATTTGCCCTTTGCCAGCTCTCCTTGAGGGCGGGGATTCCTAAATGGGATGTCCGAGCCGTGGGGACTGAAAGGGAAGGCAGTTTATCCCTTCTCCGTGCGGTGGCTATTTGTGGAGTATGGCATGCGCACTTTGAAGGCGCGTATCTTGTGTGCTGGTTAGCTGGTGGCTCATTCTGATCATTCTTTCATTACAGAGCACACGTAATTCCCCTGGTGTATTTTTATACTCATCTTCTCAGCGTCCTTACCATACTGAACAATCCTACACTATACTAAATATCAGAAGAAGTATATTTACTTAGCTGAAGCCCCGTACATTTGGTATATTGTAGACACGCATGGCTTTCCATTTTACCATGTATCTTCGAAACGCGTGCCTTTCCCCTGCCGTGATGTTTACAAAGTTCTGAGAAGATAAGAATGGAACAATGCGTCTCGACATCTCCACCATTAAGCACAGACTCTGGGTTTTGAGGAGGTTCCTAAGCATTTGTTAACAAATGAGAGAATGGTTCCTTATTTAGATAATCAGATTCTCCACTGTGCAATAAAAACTCAAAGCTGCACTTCTGGCTTCTCTCTGATCCCTTTCAGCAACTGTATGACGAGGTTCAGCATATCATGAAAGAATGGGAAGTGTTAAGTAGTCAGGGAGCCCCTCTGAAGGAGAAGTCTGACCAACTGAGGGACTTAATCCACCTCCACGAGAGGCAGAGAGCGCGAATCCAGGATTACGAGGAAATCCTATACAAGACAATCCAGTTCCACCAAGTCAAGGAGGAAGTAAGTCTTACTGTGGTTGTCCGAAGACTGCAGGATTTTACAAGATTAAATTCAGATGTTATTATTATGCACTAAATGAAAACCAAATTGCTTGTCTTAGTGTAAGAGGTTTATCCACCCTGGCGGCTAATTTATCTCCCCCTGGACCTCCATCCTGCTCCGTGCTCCAGCCAGGCTGTGCTCTTCTCCTTCCTGTGAGCATGGCACATGTTTTCCTACATCCAAGTCTCAGCTTTAGACCTGCATTTCCTAGCGGATGCTTCTCTGCTCTTTGTTAGAATAAACCTCATGCCTCCTTCCAGGAACGGCCCCCCACCCCGTCTCCCTCACAGTGATTCTTTCTTCTAAAATCCCACAGCAATCGCTAGTCCTTATGTCTAGCAGTTCTCCATCAGGACTGCTATTTTTTTTTTTTTTGAAACTAGATTTTTATCTTCCCAAACAAACGTTGTTAGCTCTTGGGAAGCGAGGTGATCAAAACCAAGTTCTTTCTTTCTTTTTTTATTTTATTTTTTCCATCTCAAGAGCCTGTCAGCATGGAGCACTGAATAAATACTGTTTACTGGTTATTTCACGGCTGCTCAAAACCATCTCTAATGCCAGCTCAGAGATGCCATCACCCTCCTCTGGCCTCTGAGTAGCTATGCATTTGATACACAGACATGGGCAAGCTATACTCATACACATTAATAGGGAAGTCTTTTTTAAAATAGTTTTTTTGAGTTACCTTAAATCACAGACCAAGATCTTATTAAAGTTAGGAATTATGGTCCTGAAACATATTTCCCCCTTTTGTAAAACTTAGGATGTTAACCGATTAAAGTAATCCTAATGGGTTCATAGGATGGCAGCGTGTGTCTGTTTCCGTAGGACTAATGGTTCGGGATGGGCTGGGGAGCATGTCAACACAGAAAAGCCCTGCAGAAAGCAGTCTTTGGAAAAAGTGGGCTAAGTGCTAATGTTCTGTATTCCAGCTGATGCATTTCATCAAATCGAAAGAACTGGAGCTTCTTGCGCAGCCCACGGAACTGGAAAGTTCTAAGGAGGTCCAGATGCAACTGGACCGTGCTCAGGAAAGGCAGGCCTATGTAGAGCATCTCGGTCGGCTGGCCCTTTCCCTGGGAGTGGACATCATTTCATCCGTTCAACAGCCGGTAAGCATCCCGGTGCATCCCTGCCGCCTCCCTCTCTCGGCCACATGGGCTATAGGATGAAAGAAGCAGGCAGATTGTTTAGTACATGTTAAATCTGAATTGAGGCTTTCCTCGCACGTGCTAACCAAGTGCAGCATTATTATGCCATCCCCTAGTCCCGGTATGTTAAATTTAAAAAGACATGCAATCATTGGAGTGCTGTGATCTCCAAGTTTCCACCACTGTTAACAAACTAATAAAATCCAAGGAGAAAATCTGAGCGTAAAACCGTATTTGATACATATTATTCTCATGTGAATTTAAAATGGAGCCATGATCTCAGATGGACGTTAGGGTTCTGCATCTAAGGCAACTAAGAACCTAAACTTCTCGCTTTCATTTGAAGTAAACTATACTGTAAAAGCTGACGTTCAATGCCCTTGTTGGAAATTTCTCCACATGTTCAGAAACTGCATGGGCGTGTGAGTCTACCTTAGAAACTATGGTTTGAGAAATTTCAAACTAGATCAAGTATTTCTGAGAGAAATTAACCACAACTGAGAAACATACAAAGTATGATATACACATTAGATTTCAAAGATGTCTGATCAAAAAGATCTTAACGCTTTTATATTAGATATATGTTGTAAAGGACAGTATTTGGACACACATGGTTAACTGTGTTATGAGGGTTAATTTTATTTATTTCTTATTTATTTTTCAATGAGACTATTGGTTTTGCTCCTTTTTTATTTTATTTTATTTTTTGAGACAGGGTTATTTTGTGTGACTTTGTGTCCTAAAACTCACTCTATGGACTAGGCTGGCCTCACAGAGATCTGCTTGCCTCTGCCTTCCAAGTGCTGGGATTAAAGGCGTGCTACCACCCGGCTTCAATGAGACTGCTGGAAGTTCAGTTATGGTTCATACCACATCTCTGCTATACAATGGTGCTTCAGGATACAGAGTCTGAAGACCATTGGGTTCCAGAGTCTTGCCAGACCAGCAGCCCCATTGTATAGAGGAAGAAGCTGAAGCCCAGAGATACCGGGTAGTCGTCCATACAAGTCCATAGTAGAGGGGCCCAGGCCCTCTGCTTCTGACCCGGGTTCGGGCACCGGGTGTTGCATACGCTGTAGACCACTGGCCGGATTTCCACAGGGGAGTCTAAAAGAATAGAAGGTGTTTCCTGATCCAAAGTCCATGACTAGTGCACTGGACTCTGGTGCTTTAAAAATTCTCCAATTCGTGCTTTGAGGGTAGAAAGGATATGTTTTCTTCATTATTAATAAGAACCACAGATCCAGTTTCATTTTAAAGTTCATTTAAGATACCTGCCAGGCTACATGTTACGTAGCGAGCCTAGCATCTACCCCTTAAGTAAGTAAAAGAATATGAGAATTTGTTGCTTTTAATAGAGTCAGCTTTTGCCAGCGTCAGGGTTTTCTAAGGGGTTTGATTACATTTGTGAGTTTATTTTTTAAAGTAAAAAGAAAGGAGGATCTCACTTTGCACAAATAACGTAAATTGCTCTCTAGCCCTCTCTGGCCTTGGTGCCAGCATCCCCTCAGTGCTAGACAGAGACTAGAGCTTAACGAACCTGGGGTGAAACTCGAGTTGACGAGAAAATTACAGCGCCGAGGCAGAATGTTCCTCGTGCATATTTTATGCTTTTTCAAAGTAAAAATTAGACCTTATCATGAATGGCGTCTCTGAGGAGTTGGGGATGATGATGAGATTCAAGAACGGAAATGTCTATTCCATAAAGTTGAATTTCTGGCTTCTTTCTAAAAAAAAAATAAGATTCAAATACGTTTAGGGTAAAATAAATCAGGACCCTATATGTCTTTCAAAGCAATCTGTGAGCATCATGATACAGGCAAATGCTATGTGGTCATGTGGCTGTTTCACAGCTTCCCCTTGTTATTTCCACACCCTTCATTTCCAGAACTGCTCTAATATCTCTGCAAAGAACCTGCAGCAACAGCTGGAGGCCCTTGAATTGGATAGCAGGGAGTGGAGTGCCAGCGCCAAAGAGTACGAAAGGGTCCTGTCCTGCAGTTTGGAGTTCTGCACCACCCGAGAGGAGATCAATGAGGTGGGCTTTGCAAAAGGACACACTGGGCCCAAAGCGTGTGTCTCGGTGTCTATGAATATGCATTCATGCTTGCACACAGATGCACACACATACACAGAATCAGAACACTTCTTACCCATGCCCTTTTAGTCTCAGAGGAGCCTTGGAGTACCCGAAGTTTAAATCAACTTCAAACTCCCAAATATGTTGAAGTCAAAATGATGCCAATGTATAGAAAAACCTCAGATACTAGATTGCGGGTTTGGGGTAATTTTTTTCCTTGGGGTGTGTGTGTGTGTGTGTGTGTGTGTGTGTTTCATCCTACTTGACTGGACACATCTTTCAGGGCACACAAGACAGGGTGGCAGAGCCTTGTGTGTCAGCTTGCTCCAGCCGGCTGACATTCTATTTAAGTAGCATTGACTCAGGGTGAAGGAGATGGTAAGGACGGGGAGCAGGCTCTTTGCTTCAGAGACCACAGGATATTTTTCCAAAGTCAAGTGCCTCGCTTCATGTTGGTGTGAACAGGTGGCTTTTTTGGCAAAAGAACTAGAGAAAGAGAAAAGAGAGAAGGGGCCTTCCATCGCCTTACATCCCCAGGGACGCAATTTCTCCTTCCCGCCATCAACTGTTCTCAGCTGTGACATGTATTAAGCACCCCCTCCTTCACTTCCAGACCCTACCCCCAGTTAAACTTTTCTTTCATGCTATGTGTGCTGATTGTCTAGTGCTGAGCATAACGGTCTTCCACCCATGGGCTTTCTTTAGGGAAAACACATCAAGGTCATGACTGTTCCACGTCTGTCTCCCTTGGGAGTGAAACCTTTGAGTCCACTAGGAAAATGGCTGAGGGAAAAAGTGGCTAACTAAATTGGTTGAACTTTTACTTTGTGCCGAGCTGCGCAATCTGGGTCCACTAGGTTCTGAGACTCATTAACTCGCAGGTTAAAGGATGGGTAATTAAGCTTTAATGGTGGCCTGTGCTGAAGCACCTGCCCTTCCTGCAGATCACAGACAGGGGTGAGAGGGAGCATAAGAAAGAAGGCAAGAGGAGATCAGGAGGGACTGCTGGGATCCGGTCCAATGGGAGGAGTCAGGGAGAAGCAGCTGGCTCGGCTGTCACATCAGCAATGCTGTCCCGCAATGTACGCTCTCTCTTCTTGGTCTGGTTCACATTCTGGTGGATCCACCCTGCAGTCTACCCTCTGCACAGGGGACAGCATCTCCCAGTTCCCTGTGCCATGGTCTGCACCTCCCTTAGGTCTCTTTACTCTTGTTCAAGAGTCAATCAGAACTTCTTGTTCTCCCAGGGTTATAAAAGATCCGTGGCCATTTTTAAAAATGATCTTTCTCTAAAATTTCTGTCTCCTTTTCCTCTCCCCCACCTCCTTCATCTTTCTTCTCATCATTTTTTCTTTCTTGCTTTGCCCAAACATCCCTTCCTGCAGAGATGGAGCAACCTGCACCTACAGAGAACACCAATGGCACAGACTAATGTGTTCCCAGTCCCACTTAACTGGGTTTCAATGGCCCCCATGAGCTGTGGCATTTATGAGGCTGGGTTCCCCTGCCCAAGCCTTTCCAACAGTTCTATTTATGGGGACAACCTCATGATGAACTTGCACTTGGAGCCAGCCCAGTTGACAGATGACCCTACCAGCCATAGTAGGGACACTCCGTGATTGTCTGTACCACCTCGGGAATGAGCAAGCAGATACACACGGGTTTGGTTTGGAAGTCAGGTATCACTTGACCACAGTCTTACTTACTAAGAGACGTGTCATTCTTCCTTGCTTCTGCGTGTAATCTAATTAATCTTTAGGCTATACTTTGATATTTGAAAGACCTTTGAAAAACTTGGGTCTTTTTTACTTTTCTTTTTCCTGTTTGTTTGCTTGTTTTGGTAGCGACGTGACAGGCATGTTGAAGTGTAGCATCCATGTGCTGGATTTTACAAATACCAAATTACTGGGAGCCCCTTAGTAAAATAAAATGTAGACATACCTTACTCTACTCTGAACTGCGACTAGGAGAGAGGACCCAGTTGATGGTTCCATGGTGGCAACATTTGGCATCTAGATCTGTTTGTCTAGACACGGGTATCTAGAGAACTATACAAAATGAAGTGAAGCCAGGCAAGGTACCACAGGCCTCTTTTCCCAGCACTGGGGAGGTAACAGGGAGAGCAGGAGTTCAAGGCCAGTCTAGGTTACAGAGCAAGTTCAAGGTCAGCGTGGGCTACATAAGACCCCATCCCAAAACAAGCAACTAGAACTGACAAGCAGGGTGTTAAGGTTTTTTTTTTTTCTGTTATAAACTAGTGAGTAACATTTTTGCCAGGCAGCTAGATCGTGCTTAACATTTAATTTTTAAAGCTGATCGCAAAACATAGTTTTAGTCTAGGACACTGAGTTGCAATAGACTCGGAGAACATCTGGCTTTAACATCTTCATTTCTCATATGAGAAAAGGAAGGTGTGTGTGAGAGAGAGAGACAGACTCAACTGTGCCCTAGAAGACTACAGAACGTCTGTCTAGAGTCTTTGGGGGTCAACTTTGAGCCAAGACTCATCTGAAGCCGAGAGTGCTTGGTGTGTGCTTTTCCAGAGTGAGCCGTTCAGTCAGTGTGTGTAGTCTCGTTCGACCATTTCTGGTCCCATCTTCCATACATCCATTACGAGATGTGGGAAAGATCTGCCACACTTGATTTGCTTCTCTTGACTTTGCTGGAACTAGCTTAGCGCTCTTCACTTGGGTCCTTACGGGAGGACTTTGTGCTTTAAGGCCTTGGAATGGCAGCTGCTCTGAAAGCGATTTAAAAATAGGATGTGATGTTCTTTAAAGACAGGCAACCATGCCTTTTGTGTTTCATTATCTTTGCATGTTGTTATGCATGGTGAATTTTTGAAAAACACGTTTTCTACACATTTACCCATGAGATACACAGCCATCAAACTGCCAGATTTTGAGGCATCTTTCCCACCCATTTCATGCAAGGATACCTTTTTATGCATAACTACTCAATAGCATTGCCTTTTCTTGCCTGGCCATGTGAATATATCATTAACACACAAAACATTCTAGAAATTTCCGCAACTGTATTGCAGTGCTGAGGAAGTGTTTATAGCTACATTTAGAAAGGTAGTATGCTAGTAGTCACATGTTTTTTCTTCTTGCAAGCTGACCAAAAATAAAAATAACATCTCATTTACATGAGGATGGTAGGGATTTATAACTTAAGGGCTCAGATTTTGTGTCACAAGCAATGGCTTTTCTGGGAAGAACAGTGATGACAGGATCAGGCTGGTATCCATTTTCTCAAACTAAGTTTACCACGCTTAATTTCCAGACAATTATGTTGCTTTACCCTGGAAAGTCTCTTCTAGGATAGCAACATCTTTTCTATCAGAGGTTAAGAAGGAAAGGATTTAGCATATATATTCCATAAGTCAGGCATGAATCCCCCAAATTCTGTTGTCAGTTTGGATGATTTGCCATCTGAGAGCCAGGCACACCAACTGATAAGAAGCAATGGATTATAATTAAGAATCGGGGCTTTTCCGAACACATGCACAGCAGGATGAAAGAAAACCACTTACCATTGTTCGGCAGAATGAGCAAAGTTAGTCATCATGGCAGGGAAGAACACAGAAAGGTTTGCATAGAGAACAAACCACCTTGTGGGGCCATCACTGTGGAAAAATACAGACAATATTCATTGTTCAGATTTGTAATCCAAACTTGCTCTTTAAAAAATACTAAATTGTCTTCATCCAACAAATATGTTTAATGTGACTACCGTGAGCCAGGTTGTAACACTACAAATGTCCACAGAAAACTTAGACATCTCGAGACAATGAAAACCCACATGGCACCCCACTACCAAACCATAACCATCTGTTCAGCACAACCCAACTGCATTTGGGTGGCCTGGATAAGTGGACAGGAAAAATTACAATTTGTTCAGAAAATGTTCATCCTGAAGGTTCAAGATTTTAAATTGTAGTATTTGATATCTGTAAAATACCCCATAGGATCTTCTAGAAAGTATGGAAAGCTCACATTTAAAATTATAGTAAGCATACCCCCCAATAAAACAAATAAGATTATTAAATTCATTCTGAAGATGCTACACTTTCAGGATAATGTTTATTGCCGAGACTGACTGCAATTTGGAACGGGTCTTTGCTTTCCAAGTTGTCCCCTCCCTGTTGCTATGTGACTTGAAGCTGAGGAAGATGTGCTGTGGTTACTAAATGGAAGAAGGCCAAGAAGACTTCTCCAAAAATCTGTCCAGCACAGAGACCCAATGCCCTCCATTAATATCTGTAGCAAAATCAGGATTAGATTTTGAGTCTTCGGATGTCTTCGTTTCACATTCAAGCGTCTCTGGGAGGTGGTGCGTTCCAGCCTTCCATTACAGAAAATGAGCCTCGGAAAGCTCTCTCATCAGGAAGGGGCAAACGGAGCATAAGAAATGGACCTTGTGAAGTGGATGCTGGAGAAACAAAAACTGACTGCTCATTTTGGATTTGGAGTGTTAGCCAGAAGTATGCCGTAGTTCTAATGCAAGATTTTCTTTGCAAATCTATTGCCTTTGGTTTTAAATAGCCCGTGTCCCTCACACCAGTTGGCCTTGCCAGCACCAGACTTACACATAATACATTCTTGTGAAAGTGGCCTTCACCAGCTTAGTCAAGACTAAGAATAGCAAGCTAGCCTGGCCTGCCAGGAGCCTCTTACTCTTCTGTTTCCTTAGAAATTCTCTCGTTCCTACCTCTGAGAGGAGACTTACCACTTGCTGGGAAGATTATGGTGAGGATAATTTTTGTATTTTCAAAAAACCCAAACCTCGTTTTTAAATTTTAGTATTTTTTCTAATTATAGCCATGTAAATGTAGTCCACTTGTTCCATGCACACGTGGAAGAGCTGAACATGTTCACAGAGGGAAGAATCAAATGACTCACAGAAAATTAACCCTAACATTCTTAGTACATACATGTTACTAATGTGAACTGTACCGTTTAAAGATTTTGAATGAATAAACTATTTCTGTCCCCAGGCTGCTGGCGTGTACGGCTGCTTACAGGCTCAAGCTGGACAGCTGTCTTACCCGTCTCCTCCATTCGCCACTGATGATAAGCTCACTAAAGTTAGAAACAGCTGCGAGGGCATGATACCCAGGCCAGTAACCATAGCGCTCTCTTCCTTTAAAACAGGGAAGCCGAGTTATGTGGGGTTTAGATTCAGTTCTCATACTGGAATGTGCAGGTTTGTTCATGCTAGAGGTGGTTCACCCATGATCCCTTCTGCTTGTGCATTCGGTAGTCTTGAATTTGCATCAAGAAAGGTCCAAAAGCTTAGATTTTGACTGAGATTTCCAAGGCGACTCAACAAGAACAGTGCCAGCAGCTCTGTGGAGAGATCTTGTGTGTCAGAATGAAGCTATCACGTTTCACATACCCAGAGCGTCACGAACATTCTTTGGCCTTACAAATCGTCTTCAGTGGAAATGCATGCATGCCGATGCCGAAATGGAGTTGTTTTTGCACGTCGTAAATCTGATGTTTGTCATCCAGAGTAAACTAGAAAGCTCATGCTTCAGAATGAAAGTGTTAGAGTTCAGTTTTCAAGTAGATGTTAAACCTTCCTGTTTGAAGAAGCCAATAAGACCCTTTGACTATCAAGTTGATTGGAGAACTTTCCTTCCTTCCTCTAGACTGAAGTCTGTAATACCATGGGGTAAGGTAGAAAATTGTGTTTTCTGGTGCTTAGCTACCGGTGAGTGTGTACTTTTGTTCCGTCTGTAAGTTTATTACTTCACCCTATTAATTTAATGTTGTGTGTGTATGATGTGTGCATGAGTGTATATGTGTGTGTGTGAGTGTAGGTGCTGGCATATGACATTGTGTGTGTGGCAGGCAGAGGAAGCCTGGGATATTAGTCCACTCCTTCTAGCTTGGTTGAAACAGAGTCTCTTTGGCTGTCTATGCAGCTGTGTACGTCAGCCTAGCTGGCCCAAGGGCTCCTGGGAATTCTGTCTCTGCCTCTCATCTTACTTTCATGAGCACCAAGATCACAGACACATGCACACATGCTAAAATGCTTGGTTTTACGTGGTTCTGGGGATCTCAACTCAGGTTCTCACACGCATGCATCAAGCTCTTAACCCACGGAGCCATTTTCCCAACCTTTGTTGTTTGTTTTTTTGTTGTTTTGTTCGTTTGTTTTTTGAGACAAGTTCTCACTGTGTAATCTGGATTGTCCTTGGATTTGTGAGCGTCCTTCTTCAGCCTTCTGAGTACCGGGATTATAGGCGTGCACTCTTGCAGCTTGAATAATTTGGTTGTTAATTGTGGTAAAATGTTGTAGCATTACTCTATCCTAACCAGGCTATGTGTGCTTTCTGTGGTATTCAGTACATATACCTCAGCATGCAGCCAGTGCACCCCCCATCAACACACTGTTATAGTCCTCTCAAACAGAGTATCTACATAGCTAACTGCCATTGAAGGAGCTTTTAAATAATAATCTCAGGCTGCCTCAGAGAGGGCATTTATTAATTTATAGTTGCAGATTGCAATTTAGGGATACAAAAAGAACCTACCTCAGTTTTCTATTAATAACTCAGCATATAGTTCCTTTATATTACAGTATCATAAAATATACTCATCTATCCCTTCCTGCTAGAATTAACACATATGCATTAAATTATCAAATGTCACAAAAGATAAATATTTAATGGATATTTCATAAGTATACCAGCTTAATAGGGTATTTTAATATTTTGTGGTCTCCTGATAAAGAAGTCATTTTCAAAATCTGAAGTTACAGCTCTTCCGACCCTTTCTGGACACTGTTGGTTTATCTGTTAAAGTGGTTTTATGGTCGCTGTTCTTGGTTTTGTCTGTAGCTTAAAACTAATACTCAGCAATGTCATTTTTTTTTTCTATAAAAATCGATAGTGGTTGAGTATAAGTATGTCCTATGCAAAAAAGTATAATAATTTATACATAATCAGGTCTGCCGGGGCCTTGGAGAGCCTCAAGAAGAGTTAAGGATAAAGTCATTGTTTTATTTCTACAATATGGAAAATCTGGAGTAAGCGTTTTGAGGAAGCATACATTTTCTAGGGCAGATGTATTTTTCTATATTATGAATCTAAGATGTAACATGTGCACAGCTTTTATGTATTCTCAGGTAATTTGTTTGCTATCTTTGAGAAGACTTTTAATGTATTTCTAACTTTTCTTTTCCATCACTCAGATTTATCAACCATGACATGATTCTTTCTTGTTGTAAAAGTTCCCATATAATCTTAGCTTTTATGTTTTCTTTGTGCTCCCCTTTGCTGATAATATGAAGTGTGAGTTGCCTGGAAGTACACTTAGCCTTCATGAATATGTAGAAGCAAGAGAAAACAGAATACTTAGAAGTGCCAGGTTGCTTAGAATCTTAGTGCATTGATAAAGACAGATTGTCAGACCATCGTAATATGTCCTATCTATACATAGTCAACATTGCCCTTGGTGGCAATGACACTCACCTTGGGTGTTTACTTGTATTTTCAAAGTTAATGTTATACATATAAAAAGTAAAACTCATCTAAAATTTGCTTACGGAAATAACTCTTGCTGGGCAAGTAAATCTCCTTTCTCACTAATCTCATAGACTGTACTAGCAATTCTCAAAGTCAAGCCCTCATTGACCTCTTCATCATGAACAGCTCCTTGGAGCCTTAATAATTTTCATACATAATGACTGAGAGAGACTACCAGGATATGGAAAGATCTGGAACAATACTAGCATACAGAAAATGGAATGAGCGTCAAACTTTGTGTCAAATAAATACAAATAAGACAGTTTGAGTTAGCAAAAGTTTATGTTCAAGATGTTGGCTATTTTCTTGTTTGGCAACCAATGTGACCATACTGAGTTTAAGATCATATATCAGAAAATACTCTCATCAAAGGATAAGAGTCCACATAGGAAATCCAGTTTTGACTGAAAGTATTATGAAGACACTTTAAGGGGATGACTGTTTGGGGCTATTTAGTTTTGTTCATAATAATGAGTATTGTCTTTCTAATTGTAAGGAAATTATAATTTTATTTTTTATTAAACTGTAGCTCAAAGAGTCATTCAAAGATATAAAAAAGAAATTCAACAATCTGAAGTTTAACTATTCCAAAAAAAATGAAAAATCTCGAAACCTAAAGACTCTTCAGTATCAAATCCAACAAGTTGACATGTATGCTGAAAAAATTCAGGTAATAAAGTAGTGTATGAGTGTGTGTGCATGTGTGTGTGTGTGCGTGTGTATCATTATTACAATTAGTACAAAATTGTTACAGTCTAGGTATAACTCTTTATAACAGAATTGAGATGGAAAGGGTTGTTTTCTATTTTTATAATAATTTGACTTTTTGAGTGGAATAAATAGTATTTGATTTATCTCATTTTCCCTTTAAAAATAATAACTTTATTCTCTGTATTCCAGAGTTGGTTTTCCTGGAAATGTTTTAGCTATTTGCTTGGTATGCAGTCATGTGAGGCTGATTTTAAGTGGACCAACTTACAGGAAAGATCTATCTCCTTGAGTAATTTATGGCTGCATCCTTCCCAGGAAACAACGTTCATTATCTGAATCCGAGCTCACCTTCACTCTGTGAGCTTTCTAGCTTATTCAATTTTTAAATTTTAAATCATTTTTAACTGACACATGAAGACAGGAGGAATGTGCATACCTTGGGGTACCATGTTTTGTTTCAGTGCAGGAGAATGTTGCAATACTATTTAAACCAGACTAGAGCCATCTCTACAGATACTCATAGTTTATTCTGGAATCATCCGAGACCCTTGCTTTTGGCTGTCACCGTCATCAGTATGTCACCAGCAGGAACAGTTGCCTTGTAGCTACGGCACAGCAGAGCTTTTGGTCCCATACCTGCAACCTCACACCAGTGATGTGTGCTGAGACAGACTGGACCAGTTTCTGCCAGATGCACAAGGCCCGTGCATTTCCATGCTTCCCCAGCACATCTCCATACATGTGCCCCGTGTGCCATGTGTGCCCTCTGCCTTTTTTCTTTACTGCTCTCACACGTCCAGAATGCCCAGCACAGATTCCAGAGCTCCTGATAATTACATACATACCTTATATTATTTCTAGGTTTTCTGCTTATTTGCAAATACTGATTGAATAGATTGAATAAAATATCTTGGAGAAAGACTATTTTTTCCAAAGTACATTTGCAATAATTATAATTTTAATATTTCAGAATGGTAGAAGCAGCAGGATTCTCTGAGTTACTCTGTTTTACTGCTAGCATCATAAGTAAGAATATAATTGCCTTTTAAAAACCCCTTTCTACTCCTCCCCTCTGCCCACAGGCTTTAAGGAAGAAAATGGAAAAAGTTAATAATAAAACTTCTGACTCATTCTTAACTTATCCAAGTAATAAAGTTAACATCCTTTGGGAAGCCATGGAGGATTTGCAAAAGCATGTGGATGACTTTGATAAAGTTGTGACCGATTACAAGGTGAATTTGGACCTGACTGAACATCTCCAGGAAATACTAGAAGAGGTATCTTCTCATTGTGATTATATTCTTCCTGTAATGTTACTTCAAAATATATTTTGTCCTGAGCATAGTAAAGAACTCTTTTGAAGACAGGGTTTCTCTGTGTAGCTTTAGAGCCTATCCTGGAACTTGCTCTGTACAGCAGGCTGGCCTCGAACTCACAGAGATCTGCTTGTCTCTGCCTCCTGAGTACTGGAATTGATTAAAAGGCATGTACCACCACTACCCAGTGTAGTTAATCCCAGTAGTTGGAGGCAGAACAGGGAGACTGCAAGTTCAAATACAATTTAGGCTCCATAGTAAACACTGTCTCAAAAGAAAAAAAGATCCTATTTCTTCAAAAAATGCTATTTTTAAAAAATTAATCTTTATTTTTATTTTATGGATATGAATGTTTTGTCTGCATGTATGTCTCTGCAGGGTATATATGCAGTACCTGTGGAGACCAGCAGGGGGTATCAGATCCCCCTGGGACTGGAGTTACAGCCAGTTTTGAGCTGTTGTGTGGGTGCTGGGGATTGAACTCAGATCCTTTGGAAAGGCAGCCAGTGCTCTTCACCACTGAGCCATCTCTCCAATGCTGTACTAGTTACTGCTGTCACTAAAGGCATGGTCATGCTGCTCTTCATTATCGCTTGCAGGGTCATTCCCTAAAGTTGAATCGCCAGGTCAAAGGCCACAGGGATTTTTTTTTTCTGCATTATATAGTGGCTCTTCCAAAAGCTTTGATTGATTTACTTTTTGCATTGCCGCAAGAGTTTCCATTTCTTTGTAACCTTTACTCAAACTCCAACCACTGATATTGCAGTCACTGCTGGAAATCAGTTTCAATGTTTAAGTGGTCTGTTTACTTCACGACATTGATGATACGTCAGAAAAACTGATGGGGAAAATCTCAGGTGCTGCCTTCCTGGGCATAACTTTGGTTACTGCCTAGGGCATAGTAGTAGGTCCACCTAAAATTCATGATGTTTGACAAGGTCAATACATTGACTCTTACTTCAGATCAGAGAGGCCACACCTGAGGGTTTTAAGCTTTCTTTGTTCCCTCTTACTCCCAAATACAAACTTTCTTTCTGTCCTGCTAATACTAATGAGTGTTTGGACTGAACACCACATTATGAGGCAGCTGATTTTTCTTTGATACATGATGTACAGGTTTGCTGAAGCTTCTTGATACTGTCTTAACTGACTTATCACGGAGTCCTATTTTTTTTCTCTTTCTTTCTTTCTTTCTTTCTTTCTTTCTTTATTTATTTATTTCCCAGCACAAATGCCTCTGGCCTGGGGCAGACAATTCCTCCTGTCACAGTTACTTATTTTTAGTGAAAAATTACTTCATACCTCCACTGTGCTTTGAAATAATGACTAGTTCTATTTCACAAAGGTAGAATTTTTTTCTTTGGATGGTGTTTCCTGGATCCATGCTCTAAATTTTATTCTTATAGGAAATTTGATCATGAATATATTACTAAGAAAAAAATTTACTTATGGGCTTATTAGCAGTGTTTGGTTGTTGTTTATACTGGATTTTGAATATTGTCCAACCAATGTTTATAAACCTTTTAGTACCCAAATGCTTTTGCTGATTGCTCTTAAAACTTATCCAACATTGTCTTAGGAACTATATTTTAGACAAATCTAAGAAGGCAGGAGAATCAAAGCTATTTCCATACTTCTGCTTTCTAATTACTGTGTATATTTCTTTATTATTCTTTAAAAATATTTGCCTTGGGTGTCTTAGTTAGGGTTTCTATTGCTGTGAAGAGACACCACGACCATGTCAACTCTTGTAAAGAAAACATCTAATTAGGGTGACTCACAGTTTAAGAGGTTCAGTTTATTGTCATCATGGTAAAACATGGCAGTGTGCAGAAAGACATGGTACTGGAGAACTCGCTGAGAGTCCTCCATCTTGCAGGCAGCAAGAAGTAGTCTCCATTTCACGCGAGGGAAGCTTGAGCAAAAGAGACCCAAAAGCCCACCTCCACAGTGACACACTTCCTTCAGCAAGACCACACCTACTTCAGCAAAGCCACACCTCCTAATAGAGCCAGTCCTTTGAGGGCCATTTGCTATCAAACAAATCCACTGGGTGTCTAAACAAAAAGGTATATGACTGTGTGCTGATGTTTTCCATTTGCTATCAAACAAATCCATTGGGTGTCTAAACGAAAAGGTATATGACTGTGTGCTGATGTTTTCTTTAGTAAGACTTGAGAAGTTTAAGGCTACCTGGAGTTTGAGGTAAGCAAAATGTGAAATGTCATTGGCCAACATGAAGAATTTCAGAAGGACACATCTCTTTAACCTGTGATTTCTTCCATTGGAATACAGTGTAACTTTTGGTATGAAGACGCAAGCGCCACAGTTGTAAGAGTTGGAAAGTATTCCATGGAGTGCCAAACAAAGGAAGCTGTGGAGATCCTCCACAGACAGTTCAACAAGTTCATTGTTCCTTCGGTGCCTCAGCAAGAAGAAAGGATTCAGGAGGTCATCGACCTTGCTCAGCGCTTATACGGTGAGTTCTCAGGTGATGCTCAGAGATTGCCGCCAAACAAGTCTATACCAAACCCAGTCCAACAGGAAGGAGATCAAGGCCCCCACTGTCCCCCACCTATTCCGAGAAAAGTCTTAAGATCCGTTCCACATCCAGCAAAAGTAAGCGGCAGAGGACAGAACGGAGGGCAGAGCACCCCACAGCAGGAGATGAGGCCTGGGGTTTAACCATCTTGTATCAGCCCTCCTTCTCTGTTCACTTTGCAGTCCACCCTTTCCATTCTTCTCCAGGGCAGCAAAACCAGAGCCAAGCTCTCTAGACAAAGAATGTAACATCCATTACAGTGAGTCCTTGAGCAGGAGGAGATTCATCACTAGCTTGCACGAAGCTTACCTGAAACATTATCAGTCTCTTGTTTCCACGAGAGTTTGATGTGTGGATTTGAGACATGGGTGGAAAACTCTCCTTCATCGTCTTCTTGCCTGTCCAACAAATGGGAAAATTCTGTCACCTCATGACTGCTTTCTTCTCCTCCAGGGTGAGGAAAGAGTCACCTGGGTGACAGTGTTTGGGGCCCTAAGGACACTTCCATGATGCTCTGATGTGGTTCCTGAGAGACAAGGAAATCCCCAGTGACCAGGCAAAGGCATCCTAGAAGAGACATTAGTAGGTGGTTCAGAATGCATCCTCTGGATGCTCAAAGCTGCTTCAGGCAGACACTCAGTCTACAGCACTCCTACTCCCAGATAGGCACAAAATGCTTAGCGACATGGAGTGCACTGACTGCCTAATAGGAAATCCTTAAGAATAAATTGTTTATTAATTTTCGAAGTAAAGTAGTAAAAATAACAAAAACACTGAAATATCAGCTGGATGTCTCTCTCTTAGCATGGTTGTTATGTGAGCGTGCTACAAATGAAGTCTTCAGGGCATCTCTGGCACTGTGGGTGTCTGTTGCGATTTCACGTTCCACCTGATAGTGTAGACACTTCTTTGTCTGTTTCATGTGCTGGTGGCCGAGGGGAGAATGTAATGTGCTGTGTTCCAGCGCATGTTCAATGCCAAAGCATGGCAAGAACTCACAAATACCCCGTAAAATCACCTTCTACAAACCTTGCGAAGTTCTGACGCCTGCCTTGTTGAATGTTCTGGTTCTTATTACTAACTGATATTTGCATGAGTTAGTTGTTTGGGTTATCCTATTAGAGTATCATCTCCAAGAGAGATGAAATCTCACCTCTTAACTCAGAGTACCATATCACATACTGAGGGTTCTGTGACTGTTGCAAGAATAAAGGAATAACTGAATATTATCATTGAAAATATAGATTTTATGAGTTGCCACACATTTAGCATAGAACTAACACACCTTTTAAAATATTTTATTTATTATGTGCTTGTGTGTGTGTATATACGTAGACTACATGGGCCATAACACATATTTAGAGGCCAGAGGACAAATTGCAGAATCAGGGCCCTCCTTCTACCAAGTGAGTCCTGGGAATTGAATTCAAGTCACCAGGCATGGCAGTAAACACTTCAACTCACTGAGACTTCTCACCAGTGCAAGGATCTAACCATCTTTTATGCTGCAGTACATAATTACTTTAGGAATATGAAAAAAGCCTTGCAGACAACTAAAGCGTTACTGATCCCCGAACTTTTAAATTTTACATTTATTTGTGAGTGGAGAGATAGATGTCTCAGTGGACATGAAGAGGTCAGAGGGCAACCTGTGGGAGTCAGTTCTCCCCCTTGACCATGTAGACCTGGGTCACCATCTTCTTGATAGACCATGTTCTACTTCAGGTCACCAGGCTTGAATGCAAATGCCTGTAGCTGCTCAACCATCTGCCCAGTCAAAGTGCAAATCAATTTATCCTAAAAACTAATTGTGAGAGCCTCCTATGCATCAGGAGCTGTCCAAAGTGTTTGTGTGAAATTCAAAGACAGTATCATTCCTATAGTCAAGAAATATGGTCTAGGCCTAAAAGCCACTGCAATCTTGTCTTTTATTGCATGTTAACTTTATCTTCTGTGCCTGGTGTTGGGGGTTGCATTTGGGGCCTTTCCTGGTTAGTTTTTTTGTCAATTTGACACAAACCTAAGTATACTTGACAAGAGAGAATCTCAATAGTAATTGCCTCCATTAGATTGGCCTGTCGGCATGTCTGTGAGGGCAGTTTCATTGATTTTTGATTGATGCGAGAGAGCGCGCCAAGCTCTCTGTGAGTAGTGCCATTCCTGAGTAGGGGAGCCAGAGTTGTATGAGAAAGGTCACTAAGCAAGCTAAGCAAGTAAACATATCGCCAACATCCTTCCATGGTCTCTGATTTATTTCCTGCCTCCAAATTCTGCCTTGGCCTCCTTTAGTGCTGAACTGTTAACTACAAGCTGAAATAAACCCTTCCTTCTCAGGATGTTTTGGGTCAGTATTCTATCACAACAGCAGATGAAGAAAATGGCCCCACTTACCCTATCAAGCTCTCAACCACTGGGTTACATCCAAAGCCCAGAATGAACATCCTCTTTTAAGAAACATTTGTTTCCAGCTATTGTAAAGGGAGACTACGTGTTCGTTTTCCAGCTGCCCAGACCTGAATAATCACAAAGAAACTATATTAATTACAGCACTGTTTGGCTTATGTCTCAGATATATTCCTAGCTAGCTCTTACATCTTAAATTAACCCATTTCTGTTAACCTATGTATCACTGCAAGGCGGTGGCCTACTGGTAGGGTTTTGGCATTAGAGAGTCTTTCTCCTCCAGCTACATGCCGTTCCCTTGACTCTGTCTACCCTCTGTATATATTTCTTCCAGCCTGGATATATTCTTCCCTGCCATAGGCTAAAGCAACTTTATTCATTAATCAATAAGAGCAACACATATACAGAAGGACATCCCACATCATTTCCCCTTTTCTGTCTAAATAAAAGGAAGGTTTTAACTTTAACAAAGTGAAGTTACATGTAACAAAATGAGTATCAAGCAAGAATTACAGTTTCAACATTTAGTCTATTTGTATCTGGAAAGTTTCCTATCTAATTTATCATTTATCATAACTAAGGAAAACTATAACTATAACTATCCATCTTAAATTCTTCAAAGACCTCAGAGGAATAATATTACGTAATTAAACAGTAAGTGCACTGCAAGCAACTTCCCAAACTTTAAAATTGATAGAGATATCTGGCTGCCTGGACAGTCACCCGAAGTTCTTCTGTAATGTTGGGGCATCCATCTTCAGCCTACAGGCCCATAATATCTGGAAGACTTTTCCACAAAGCAAGAAATTTCAAAGATAATTTTGCCTATATTAGCAGTTTGTCAGTCACTTTCTTCTGTGTTCTGCAGAATGTCTAGTAGACTCTTTCATGAAACAGAACCCTGAAAAACGGTCTCACCTTTCAGCAAGTTCAGCAGTCATTTCTGTGGGTCCTGCATGTCCAGTTTATACAGCATACCATCAAGCAATCTAGGCAAGAGTAATTTCTTGCCCAAATGGCTAGCAAGCTCCATAAGGCGACTCTTTGATGCCCATCTTTCTCTTGAAGTAATTGGTCCTGCCAGGAGCAGATATGTCTCACTGTTGACAAAAGTCTAAGTTCTTAAAACATTTTAAATGCCATATTCTGTAGGTCTTTGAAGTGTTGAAGATTATTTAACTGAAATATATCTCTTTATATCTAGAAGACATAACTAACAAGACTATACTTTGACTACTATAAATGACTATTAATCTTTAATTTTTAATTACATTGAATTTTTAAATGAGCTGTATAAATATAATACCTTAAACAAGGGCAGAAACACATATACACAGTGTAACAAAATCAACTTTAAATTTGTATCAATAGACTAAAGTCCATACCAATGTAAAGTATGCATCTCTATATATCAGGTTATTGCTGGTTTTCAGGTTGGTTTTGGTTGGGGAGGGACATGCCTGTAGAGTTGCTTGAGTTCTTCGGGATTCTAAGCCCCCATCAGAAGTAAACCAGAGGCAAATGTTCTACCTCATTCTGTAAAATGCCCTTGCACTTTGTTCCACTGCTCACTCTGCAGAGACCTTTCTGTCTGACACATTCCCCTGTGTCCATGTCTGCTTTTGTTTCCTGTGCTTTCAGGAGTTTTCCTGGAAAATCCCCGCTCACATTGGCATTGTTTGCTTTCTTCTACTGATTTTAAAATCCAGGCCGTGAATTTCATTCTTTAATCTATTTAAAATTGATTTTTCTAACTCAGAAACTGTGATGAGATGATGGGATGAGATGAGATTGGGGCCCATTCTATGTTTTATGTGGGAATATTTTAGCATGGCTCAATGTTTTACTGGGTCAGATTGGCTTGGAATTATGTCAGAGAATTAAAATCACATACATTTGGAATAGGCGGGCTCAAACCAGATGATGACAGGCCTTGAATGTCATTCTGAAAAATGTATATTCTCTAAGTGGTGAAGAATTTCTGACTATCTTGAATAAGAAATCCTAATCTTAAGAACAGTAATATAAGAACGTTAGCTGGGTTTCATAGAGGAGACAAAGGCACAGCAAAAGAAGTCTTTATTTTAGAACTCCTAGGCTAGCAAGTTTTCCAGCACTGTGGCAGTAAACCTGGCTCAGGGTTTCAGAGGCTTCATCCTACACTGTGCTTCTCCACTTCTGTGGGTTTAGGTTGAACAGAATAATTATGGCAGCAAGAATGTATAGTGGAGAAGGTTGCTCACTTCACAGCCAGAAAACACACAGAGAAGCATCTGGGGACAATTTATCCCTTCAAAGGCATATTCCCCAAGCAACCCATTTTCTCTAAGCATCCTCATTTTCCACAGGACCCACTTCCTCCCAATAGTCAATTCAATTATTAACTCATCAACAAACTAACCCACTGATTATGTCAGAGGTCTCATGATCCTCCCCAAAAGTCCGACCTCTGAACATAGCTCTGAAGGACCAAGCCTTCAATATGTAAGGCTTACGCTGATATTTCCTAATCAAACCACGATCCCAGCACATAAGAAGTGGAGGTTATGTAGTGAGTTTAAGGCTAGTCTGGGTTACATGAGACCATGTCCAACCCCTTCATCCCTCCCAACCCACTACCCTGTATCCAAATATATCTAAACTATTACGCATTGCTTTTAAAAACATACCTGCATTCATCGATTATTCTGTTCAGTGTATGTTAGGAGTTTACTGTCTACTAGTGCTTACAAAAGACACTTGGGAGATAAATTAGCATCTAGTTCTTTCTCTTTTTCTGTTAAGAATCCCCTTTACATGTAGGTTTTTCTTTGCTCCTTCCCAGGTTTGGAAGAAGGGCAGAAATATGCCGAGAAGACTGTCACAAGACACAAGGAGATTCTCGAATCTATCACTGAATTATGTGGGTCTCTTGTGGAGCTTAAAGAAAAACTGGAGGTAATTTCTTCTTCCTAGAATATGTATTATCAAGTGATATAAATAGAAATGGGTTAATCAACTGTCTTCCGGTGCAGAGATGTTCTAATATGAATTCTCAGGAGGCTTAACATACACATTTGTTTCTTAGCATTCTGACATAATTATCTGAGGGTTTATGATAATTAATCCTCTTTCTTTCCCATCACTGCAGAGAAAAATGTTTCTGGGAATGAGGGCTAAACACAATTAAGGTGTCTCGTTTACATTTTCATGGATCATATCCTAGAGGATGAATGTGTGCCGTTAAAACCAAAGCCACATTTGTATTAAGGAGTCTTATGTTTATATTCATAAATAATAGATGGAATGGTTTTTCTTCCTCTAGATTATGGCACCAAAGAAATTAACACTAATATTTAGGTATTATATGCACTGAACATTTAGCATGGTGGTAAAATTAAGGTAACTGTTATAACCTTCATGGAATTAAAATGAAATGGTAGATAAAAACAGGGTAAATGCTTATGATTGCTATGGTAGACAAAAACCAACTAAAGGAAAGATATGTTGTCATGCTTTGAAAATGTTGTGGTTAATGCTGTTTTTATAACTTACTGAGAGTGGTTTGGGATAATCGCTATAGCTCTGTCATTAAGAGCTCACACAGGCTCTAGATCAGAACTCAGATGCCTTGGAGTACCCTTGGGTCACAAATTGGGCAAATGGTTTAATCTCCTAAATGGATGCTGCAGAGGCCCAGGGGCTCTGCTGTGAAGGTACCCAACTGTGTTAGTTGTTACTGTTGTGAACTTGCAGTTCAGGTAGAATTATATCTATTTCATGGCAAATATTTTCATGATATTTTTCATGTCATAAATTTGAGTGTTTATTCAATTTAGACAGTGTGAAGGAATTTTAATTCATTCATTACATAACCAAGTTGCCATTATCCTTCCTTTAAACATTTAGGTTTTTCAACTTATTTTCTTCCCATCATTTTACAACACACTACAGTAAACATCCTTGGGTTTTTTATTCTTTTGTAATATTTTGTATTATTTACACACAAATTCTTCAAAGAAGACTTGAAAAAATGAATAAAACGTATTAAATGCTTCTAATATATAAGCCAGCTGACCTTCTGTAATTATTTTCACAGCTGTGAAGCTACTTGTCAGGTGTGAGTGAACCATATAGCTTACATTGTCATTGTTAGCACTGCCTCTACTTCACTCTTTTCCATAGCTCACACATACAGGCAGGCAAACCCCTTCCTCTGACTCTGCTTGGCATCATCTCCAGTGCCCTCCTTTATATTGTACATCTTCAGCTTGATGAAACCTTGTCTTTCCAAATGATATCCCCCCCCCCATCTTTCCTTCCACAGCTCTGTTCTCCGAAGATGGGCTTCCGTAGCCAGCCCCCCACTTTCTTATTCCCCATGACTTAGGGACTCCCTTTGGTTAGGATTTTACTCTCTTTTACATTCTCAATCTGTCATTAAGATCCCTTGATCCTATACTGGGTTTGATTCCCCTTCCTAAATATGGCTGTGCTCATGTCCTTTCATATTGAAAACCCTTCACCAGGAGACCTGTCCCTGGCTCTGAGACCTGTCACCTTCTAAATTGCTGTGCTCCTCCATTCATGGCGGGTTCCTATCTCACATCCCTTAGTGATTTCAGCTTCTAGACCTTTACTTTAAACACATGATCTTTTATTTATCAAAATCTTATCAACACCCAAGTGTAAATGGAAAGATCCCTTTCCCCACATAAATCTTCCTTATTCCTCCCTTGCTGCTCTCCCATAACACTTGTGATCTTTCACACTCACCCAGTCTGTTCCAGATGCCTTTAAACAATTTAGGCCTATTAGTGCTTAAATTAAACACACACACACACACACACACACACACACACACACACGCAATCTGTTTATCGCAGTTCCAGAGGTTGGTAAGTCTGAAATCTAAGCAATGGTGGTTTGACACCTTGGGAAATCCTGCTTCCTCATGGTCACCTCGTTCTAAACCTTTAAGACCTGTGATGGCAAAGGGTCTCTCAGCTCTCTTTTGCAAGTTCACTAATCCATTCCTGAGGACCCCACCCCTTCTTACATGGGAGCTATTAAAAAGAGGATGCACAAACTCCTCAAAAGGCTAGACTAGTGATAAAAAATGAAATCTATTTGTAACACAATTTGACACTTAAAAAAGGCTTGGGTACAGACCATCTCCAGTGTTTCCAAGTAGCCTTGAGATCGAGAGAAGATCTCCATTGTTTGTTAGATGTTTTGCTTGTTTGTTTGTTCATAAGACAAAGTCTCTCTCTGTAACCCTTGGCTGCCTTGGAACTCGCTATGTAGACTAAGCTGACCTCAAACTCCCAGAGATCCAGGTGTCTCTGCCTCCCCAGTTCTGGGAGCAAAGAATACACCATTGTAGGCGGTGCTTGCCTTGTTCCAGAAGGAAGATAAGGGTCCAAAGAGGCTAGAGGTGCTGTCTCTGGGTCTCCAGAGTCACAGTAATCATCCTGGAATTTGAAGTTACATCTAATTTGACATCTAGAATTCTTTCCACAACAGCTGTCATTGTGGTTTAGATTCCAAGTGTGTATTAGTGCCAAGAGGCTCACTCAGTAGTACAAACTGGTTTTATTTTAGAGTTGAGATGCAAAGCTGAATTTCCCCGATAGGATCTCCCGAAATTCTCTGAGTAACTGTAATGAGCACTTTGGGGATTACGCCTGTTTCCATAGCCATCTAATACCATGATCCGGGTACAACAATTTCCTACTATAACATAAACATCGTTTCCAAACTGTGTGTTTTGTCACTTGGGGCACCTGGGCCTCCATTCCTCATCCCAAATCTTGGCTCTGATGCTGCCTCCCTGCCAGTTTGTAAACTCCCACTCCCTCTGTGGCTGTGGCTGAGGCTGAGCCCCATGAAACACAGGAACAAGGAACAGTCACAGGAGACAGCCTGTGTTCCCAACTGTTTTCTTCCTCTTTTCAAGTCTCCCAGTTTGCTTGTGTGGATTCTCTGGCTCCCTTACTTCCTTCTCCTCTGGAGACCTCATCATTTCTTCCTCATTGATGCTCTTCGGCCTCCTCATGGCTTAAATTGTCCTACACAGCATTCCCGTCTCCAGAGAGTGTTCCTGCAGCAGCATCCTACGGTAGCTGTCACTTCATTCTCCAGAAGGCCTTTGAACAGTTGGTTTTGCTGGCAATGAGCTTTACCAAAGGGGCAAGGCAAGATGAGAGCTATAAGCTTGGAGGGAGAACATTGGTCTCCTGTGGAATACGTTTGCTGAGAGGCTGCCATTGGCTTATAGCGTTTTTCCAAGTGGTTAGCATATGGGATTGTTTCTTCAGTGCTCCTGGCTCGAGCTCTCACTAAACCTGCTTTGTACAGCAGGGCGATGTTCCAAAGCAGCGAGATGTTCCAAAGCTGAACCCAAATTTGGAACTTTTCCACGACAATGGCATCGACCTACTAAAGGAGCCCCCGAGGAGTGAGCAGACACTGTTGGATGAAGGAAGGAATGAGGTAAGGTAGCAGAAGCGTTTGGCTTCAGCCATGTGTTACTGTTTCTTTGAGATTTGCTGTTGTTCATTTAAAAATGACTCTACTATGCCTCACCATCAAATCAAGTCTTCCGATATAAATTGAATGTGAGTTTTCTCATCCCTACCATGCTAGCTTGGTCATCCTCATGTTTCTTTGTGTCCCTTCTGCTGAATCCTGGGGTCACAGCATTTCACAGAAGCCCGAGAATTCCAGCAAATGCCATCATGTTAGCCTAGGCTACTTCTACTCCCATATCTTGCTACCATCCCCATTATCTTTTTACAATCAATCTCGCTTCATTTTATTTACTTATTTATTATAGTATTACCAAAATGGGAAGTTTTTAAAATTATTTACACTCCCCATTAGGAAATATTAATACATAAAATTAGGTACCATCTTTTTCCCATAGACTAACTCCACATGGTATTTCTGGGCATCTGGACGAAGACACTGAATCCAGCTGAAATATAAATACTATTAGATAAATGTCTCAAAAAAATCTATGATTTTAAGTATTTTTGACCGGATATAATAATACTATTGGTTTTTAAGTTCTGCATATTTTCCTGCATTATGTATTAAACACATTTAATAAAGACTCGGTAACAAAAGTCATTGCTGCTAAAGTGGCCACCCTTATCATTTATACTATACCTCGTAAAAAGGTTTCATCTTGCTTTTATCTATTTTTTTTTTTTTTTGGTTTTTTGAGACAGGGTTTCTCTGTGGTTTTGGAGCCTGTCCTGGAACTAGCTCTTGTAGACCAGGTTGGCCTCGAACTCACAGAGATCCGCCTGCCTCTGCCTCCCGAGTGCTGGGATTAAAGGCACTTTTATCTATTCTTATTAGAAGAAGCGAATGTCTTTAAATAAAACAAATACAAGTTATTTTCATTGACGAGTGACTTTTATTTTTAAATAAATTGAAAGACCCGCTAACTAGATCACCAGCCGTTTAGAATGCAGGTGGAGAGCCACAATTACAGCTGTCAGGAATCCCCATCCACATCGCTTCTTACCCAGTCTGCTGCAGCTGGAGCAGACAGCGTAATGAAAGGACAGGGGTAATTTTCATTTTCATTTTCAAGCAGCTCAATCACACTTAGACCCTTATTGTCTCTGCTATATGCATCTAGGTCAGATGTAATGATTCTCCGAAACCTCCAGTGGTCAGATAACAGGAAGCCCCCCCCCCCCCGCTTCCCCAAGAAACCCTGAACCACTGTTCTCAGTCCCCAAACCCTTAAATACCGAGTCTTCCTCAGAAAAGTATTTGAGTTGGGGGAAAAAAAAAAAACAGTCCTGCTGACTAATTACCAAAACATCTTTATCACAGGAGCTTTCTCCTAGAGACAGCCAAGTGCTTCTCGTTTATCCTGACCCCCAAATGCCGCAGACGGCATTAGACGAGCCCACCGGTACGATGTATGCATCACAGCTAACAGATTAGTGCTGGCGCTTTATCCCCAGGCTGGGTGCTGGAGCTAAATCCACCGCAATATCCTAAAACTCCTAAGGTTAAATGGCAGCCCAGAGGATTAAAAGACTTGCCTGAAGTCGTGGAACTATTCGGTAGATGACGAAGGCACTGGACACCAGCATTTAGAGGTATAGAATTTAGTGCTGAGAGGGATTTAACAATCATCTGCTCAAATCTTATGTTACCATTGAGGAAACTGAGGCAAAGAGACATTAAATGTATTTCCCTCCAAAATACCAGAAACTAGTACCAGAAGTGCCTAGGCAGTTTGAATTTCAGAAAAATGCCTCTTCTGCAAGACCCGTGGGCTTTCCAAGGAACTGGATCGTAACCACGACCTGTTTGTCATGGTGCCATGGGTGCCCATGCTGTCTAGCCTGCTGTTCACGTGAAGACTTAATAACCAACAGGGTGGAAGTGCCTCTCTTCCGAACAGTTCAGTGGAGTGCTCTTACAGGCTGGGAGGACAGCCCCTGGTTCTTCCCATCGGATCATCGGGGAGGTGCTAGGCACTATGGAGACAGATGCCTTTGAAAACTCAGAAGAGCAAAGTGTTCTCTTGTCTGCTTTCTTCCTTTCCCATGTCAGGCCACCTGTCCAAAGGTCTCAGGTTCCCTTTGATCTGCCCACAAACCTTCCATGGGTCTTCCTCTCAAATGTCCTTCATACAGAATGCTCTATGAACGCCTCTAAGTCTTACTTTTCCTAAAGTAAGAACACCTGCTGTAGGGTCTTCTGGAATGCAGAGTCATTCTGTAAATGCATGGGACACACGTCTCCCTGTGCAGTGTACTTAGGTTGATGGGTCTACAGTACTATATTCCTTTCCAGAATGGGCCCTGTCCACAGACAGTGATTGTAAACCCAAGTGAGGGTGCCAAGCTGTGCAGATTAAAGCAAATTAAAGTTGAGCCGTCCGTCACACCAGACATGTGAACCAGGGTGTTGGCAGGGAATCAACTAAAAGTCTTTTTGCCATTAGAGATATAAATGGCAAGAGATCTTTAGAGGAAAAGTATCCATAGAAGATTTCAAAACCGAAAGCGGGGAGCTGGGGAGGTTCTGTCAGTAAAGTCTTTGCCACGCATCATAAGGACTTGTTCTGATTCTTAACTGTGTAAAAAGCTGAGTGCTAGTTTGTGCCCGTAATAGCAGTTCTGAGGACTAGTGTGTGCCTGTGATACCAGCTCTTGAGTACTAGTTTGTGCCTGTAATACCAGCTCTTGAGTACTAGTTTGTGCCTGTAATACCAGCTCTTGAGTACTAGTTTGTGCTCGTGATACCAGCTCTTGAGTACTAGTTTGTGCCTGTAATACCAGCTCTTAAGTACTAGTTTGTGCCTGTAATACCAGCTCTTGAGTACTAGTTTGTGCCTGTAATACCAGCTCTTGAGTACTAGTTTGTGCCCGTGATACCAGCTCTGAGGAGATGGAGACAGCAGAACCATTAAGGTTTGTTGACCAGCTAGTTTGGAATTGGTGCACTGCAAGTATCAAATAAAATAATATTATTAGTACTAGTGATAATAATAACAGTAGTAATAACAGCAACAACAGCTGAGGAAGACAGCCAATGTGGACATCTGACCTCCACACACATATGCACACAAGTGAGTATACACACATATATAATCATATACATAGCATATAGACAGCAAAACAAACAAAAACACCAAACAGCTAATACATCTGTCTAGATGGTGGGAAAGAGCGTTAGCGAGGAGACAAAGAGCAGCAGAAGGAAGAAGAAAAGCCAACTTAGAACGGAGTTCTGTTTAGCAAGTCGGAGCAGAATTTCCCAGCTATTTTTTCCAGAAATCATCACAATGAGACAAGTGTCTTATAGAAACAATGATTTCATGCTGGGAAAACTAGAAGAGATGGCCAGTGCCTGTACATGCTTAGATACCTCCTTCATAAATGAAAACTGTACAGCTCTAGGATCCTAAACTAAGCCTCAGTGAGCTTTAAAAGCAGTGATTGCGACGTTTCACGATGACTGGAAAACCACCTGCCCATGCCCATGTTGATCACAAAAGCAGAAGGGCCAAGAGCCAAATGGACTTGGTGAGAGAAGAACATTTACATAAAACGCACCTTAGTTTGCTTGCTGAGATGATTCCTCTGTGGGTAATTCTCGGTTGGCATCTTAGACACGATTTACTATGCTCCCAGGAGGCCTTTATTCGATAAACACACTTTAGTATCTCTCTTAAGATAACTGGAGAGAAATAGGAACTGAATACAGATTGGGTCAAGAGAGAATTTCCCTATGTCTGTTAAGAGGATCTCATTTCACTCAGGGCAGCTTGGATACTTTGGTCATGGGGATGAACTGTTTGCAAACAGACGTTTGGAATTCAGGGACTCGTATTCCATCTTAGGGCTTAGCATATCACATATTTTCATCTCATTCAGGGCATCACTAATGGGAAGCTGGGAACAGAATTGTGCACACCTAATGAAACTTTGGCTTTTCTCCTTTGAAGGGGCAGGTGCGAGGAGCAGATACCTTGGACATAAACGGAAGATTGGAGCATGGGCTTCCCATGGACTTGAGACAGTCCTTGCCTGAAAAAGAGGGTGGTGCCCAGGGTCTGATGCTGGAAGACATGCTGTCTGGAGAGGAGTCTGAGTGTATCTCATCTGATGACATCTCCTTGCCTCCACTGCCGATGAGCCCGGAGTCCCCTCTGGCACCATCCGACATGGAGGTGGAAGAACTTGCCAGCTCTGCAGCCCCCATGCTCCACATCGGCAGCTATAGGACACACACAGGGACTGGTGTTCTAGGGCAGTCCCAGGAATCTGTTCTTCCACCACCCGTTGCTTTTGCTGATGGGTGCCCTAATAGGAAAGACACATTTACAACTCACTTGAAGAGGCCCTACCCCCAATTCAAAGCCGGAACCTCATTAACCTCCAAAGGATCGGTAGAGATGAGTAGCACCAATGTGAAATGTCCGACGAGCATGCCCCAGGAAGTGCATGCCACAGCTTTACAGCAAGGCTCCCAGGCTCGGGAGAGCTCTCTAGAGACCCAGGAGAAAGTGCATGCTGATTCTAATGTCACTAAAACCCAAGACAGGCTGCATGATCCCCCTGATGCATCCCCTGGCCTGGGCTCTCAGTCAGACACCAGCAGGAGGCAAGCGGGTCCCCAAGGAGACAGGAAACACTCATCTGCCGGGAACAGCGTGGTCAGCCTCGCTGGCCAGGCACCTCATTTCTCCAGGTTGCTGTCCAATGTAACTGTCACGGAAGGTTCCCCGGTGACTTTGGAAGTCGAAGTAACAGGATTCCCAGAGCCTACGCTGACGTGGTGGGTAGCCTATAACGAGAAACCGTAGATGGAACTAATGACTGTTGAGTGCACCTTGTAATGTGTGGACTAACCTAAAGGTTCAGGGCTGGCTGCCTAACACTCCTGACACCCAATTCTGCATGGTTTGATCTCACGGCACACCTCAACTTTTACTTAACTTAAAGCCCTTTAGTACCCTTGGCAGGGGCGGGGGAGGAGGAGGGGAGTAACCATTTCAGAGAAGGATTTAACAGCCTCCAGAAGCATGGATATTGATTTTTGTTTGGTTCTTCTTTCCATTTAACATTCCTCCTTTCTAATAATGAGGTCTCAAAATACCAACCCTATTGTCTGTTTTGACATTGGTATAGCATTTTCTTGGTTTAACACCCTAAAAAGCCTAAGAAACTCTAAGTTTATTCTTTTCCTTTTTATCTGTTCATTTCATCTTCCCAACAGAACCACGGTGCCGCCTTGGTGATATTTGTTTTGCTAAGGTTCCTTTTTATAAATATATTTACTATGAAAGGTGAACTACTTCTTTTGTAGTTACCAGGTGGTTGATAATAAACTCATTTCTTAAAGTGATGTAGTCATTGAGCTGTGAGCAATGTGACCTCACTCTGGAGACGTTGTTGCCTTTTTGTCTTGGTAAAAATAAACTGCACAGTCAAGAGTCTGACCCACTCACCACGAACAACAAAGTAGTTGTAGTTTTTCTGTGGGGGCTACTTTTTAAAGCCTTAACAAAATCTCCATCCCCAGACAGAGTCATCTGAGAACAAACTAACAGGTAACAGCGAGTTTAGACTTGTACTGTATTTTATTTATCAGGAATTTTTGGTAAAAGTTGTTTTATTTTTGCATGTCCCATTGGTGGTAGTTGACTTGTGACCCAACTATTTAAAGAATTTACGAGAAAACTTTGGCATTCAAATACTAAATCTGCGCATGTGTAAGTGCAGAAATTAGCACTTTTTGTTTTCTTATTTTTACGATTGCATAGTTTTTACACATCAATACTTTTGTATTTATGGATTCAACGGGTATTTACCTCATAATTAAATATTAGTTCACCCCAAAGAAAGACGCCTAAGGTGTTTCTTATTTTTCTCAATACAAACAAGTAGCTTCATTAGGGTTAGTACAGATGGCTGAAGAATTGTGGCAACATATGTGTTATTGAAGAATGATTACAAAATGTAAGTCCATTTTCCCATCAGTCAGAGGTGTGCTCAGTGAGCACCTGACAGACTACAAGGGAGCTGTGCGCTCAGGACACTCTGGAGAGCAAAAGTATCACTTAGGCAGTGTGAACAAAAAACTGGCTTTAGGGACAGAATCAAACATGAGGACCTGATCTCATGGTAGTAGCTGGGTACAGTGAAGAGCCCCCGAGATCTCAGTCCTGGGGTGATGGAGACAAGTAGCTGAACCCATGAGCTCATGGGGGAAGACCCTGGCTCAGATGATAAAATGCAGCGTGGTAAAGGAGGACACCTGACATCAGCATCTGGTCTCTACATACACACATCACACACACACAGACACACACACACACACACAGACACACACACACACACAGACACACACACACACACACACACACACACACTTACATAGACCCTTGGCATGTGTTTCTCATCAGTTCCCATAAGGAAGAAAGTGTTTATAAAGGCATGCATGTGGAGTGTATCAATTATTTGCTGCCTAAAACGATCCAGGTAAGTGTTCCTGTAGAGAGAGGAATTTTAGAAATAGGTCATTTATAGTCGAGAGGTAATGTCATAAATGCCTTTTATAAGGGGAAGCCATTGTCTTTGAATGAACCTAGTTCACCAATGAAAAGAGCTTCTTTCAGTGGGAGTGGTGTGAAGGTCCTTTCTGCACACTGTGCATTTCTCCTGCTGGGAGACTGTGCTGTATGAGCACCGAGGGCAGATGATCCTCACTCCTGTGCAGACGCCAAGCAGAAGGCACAGCTGCAGCTACAAGCTGCAGATAGGGTGAAGCAGGCTGGATGTGTGTGTGCCACTTCACACACACACACACACACACACACACACACACACACACACTGTTGCCACGAGCAAATGTGACCCAGCATGATCAGATGGTCTGCTCCGTGTATCTGTGTGTGTGTGTGTGTGTGTGTGTGTGTGTCTGTTTGAAAGAATAAATGGATGTATGAATTTTCATCTATGATATTCTGTTAAATGCTATCATGGAACTTTTAAAAACAAGCTCTGAGTCAATCAATGTAATTTTCTGGCTACAGGTTGCTAAGCAGTTTCATTTGGCATCTATTGTAGCTAGACGATTCCTGCTAATACTAGAGAATAGTGCAGTGGGCATGGGCCTGGCTGCAATAAGTACGAGAACTTGGAAATGATGGAATCACGAAGTGGCCATGACTTAAGCCTGACTCTCTGCTTTAGGTTCAAGAAGGGCCAGCCACTGTGTGCCGACGGACACTTAGAGGTGTTGCACAAGGACACAAAGCACTCGGTGTTCATCCCAAAGGTATGTGAGGCAGATGCTGGCCTCTATGTGGCTCAAGCCCAAAACTCTAGTGGCACCCTGTCTTCCAAAGCCGTCCTCCATGTGACAGGTAACCGTGGGTCACCAATCACAAGAATAAACTGGATCGTGTTGGGTGCCATCTACATCAGCGTATCACTAATATACTGGCTACTTGCACAGTAGTGGGTGCTGGCATCGATGGACGTCGTTATGAGCCTAACGGACACTATGGTTGTTTATTTTCTCACACATCACACAAATCATCCCCCACCAACGTATCTCTACTCTGGCCACGTTGTTTGTTTGACTAATACCGCTGCTAGGAGGAAGAATTGCATTTTCTCTACTGTTTAATGTATTTGGGGAACATGGGAAATTATGTACAGTATATAATAATATATTTTGTATTCTAAGGAGAGAACCATCTTGTATGATATGCTGATTCCTTGGGTAAAGGCAAGTGAACGCTTACATCAGCATACAGATGTTCTCTGATTTTCAAATCCAAGTGTTTGATAATTTCTTTTTAACTGTGTTCATAAATATGTCTTTGGAGGGCATTACATCAAGCTGAAGTTGTGATTTTCAGTGATGTATTAACTTCCCTTTAATTGTGCTTTCCATGTCTTGATCTTGTACCTTCTATCTTGTGTCAACATACTCTACATTCCCGAGGCTGAGGAAGTCACTATCAGTAACCATTCCTTGTGTTGATCTCTTGGGCTTGATGTTGGAGAACACACAAGCCACCCACTTTAAAATGGAGTTCCAACCTTTCTATCAGCTCTGCACGTCATATGTCAAGATGGAGCACAGGCTACAGGAGGGGACCAACGTTCTCCTTGTTCTTCCACTGCCGTGCATTGGCCATGGCGTGCATAACTGTAGTCAGGTCCTCTTGCCTCTGAGTTGATGCTGCTGCCTCTGAACATTGTGGAGCCGACCACAAAGCATCTCAGTGCCTTGCTTTCCCCTCTGAAAAGGGGACTCATCTACCTCTTGACAACTGAGATTTTCTTTCACGTCCTGTGGTGATTAGGTCAATGGAAAAGTGCTCAATGAAAGCTCATTTTAAGGCTTGGTGTGGTTTGTCAGGTTGCTGCTCATTGCCCATTCATTCCCTTTCAGATGCTGGTCTTTTAGAATATGAGATGAAAAGAATGCTGTTAATACGTAATTCCCTACTAGTCCCTCGGGGGAGGGTCAGACGGATGGTCTGTGAATTAGAGCATAAATTCCTTTCTAACTTCTTATGTCTACATCCTTTTCAAAGACTTGATGTTAACCTCAACAGGATATCATTAGGATGTTTTAGGGGACTCAGGGTGAGACAGAAGAAGACTAACCTAGCCTTCTTGTGCAATTATCGCTGTAATGTTGAAGAAGGCTACATGGCTTCCAGAAAGGCATCATTCGAAATGGCAGATCATCTTTTTGCTTCCCTTGAAGAACAAGAGAAGCATTTGCTTTTATGCTTTAAACCTCATCTGTCTTGCTAGTGTAAAATCTTAGGTTGAAAGAGTAATTTATTGCAGATTTCTGATGGAGGGAAAAAGGTAATTATGTTGCTAGAAAACCGTCTACAAATAATCAAAATATTTAAATATAATATAATTGGCTTGGTATTAAAAAGCTACTGAATGTTGTGGAAGATGAGAAATGTCTAGTCAAGTAAAGAGTTGGCCTGTTTTGTGTGTGTTGCATATTTAGTTTAATTAAAAAATTAAAATTGAAAATACGTTTTCTTTCAAGTTTTGACAGAAGGCTATTGAAATCTTGTATATACACAGCATCCTGGGGAACTTCAATCTTTTCACTCTTAACATTTTGTCCAATTTTAAGATTTTTTTTTCATATTGTTTGTAGCTGCTATGGCCTATGTGGAAGCTAAGCAATAAATTCTCTCCATGCCCAAAGGAGGCAAGCAGGTAACAAACTCCATCCCGTCACACTTTCTAACGCTTGGTAATTTGATGAGATATCTGTCCCAGCCTCATCACCCTGCTTGATTTCTGTTTGAAGATTGCTGGAGCATGGAAGTGCAAGCTCACTTTACCTGCTTCTCTTCAATTCACATCCTTCCTTCAGGAAGCCAGGGGATCCAGATGTTCGTCATGATATATGGCCCAATAAAGCATGCAAGATCCCTCAAGATGCACATTTGTGTGTGTGTGTAAATCGAACCTTTATGTTGGAGGAAAATACTATGTGGATGCAGAAGGTATAGTTCAAATAGCTTTGTATACGTCTCATCCATCTAAAGTACGAGTGGCTATTCATGCAGCAGTGAAGAATTATGAGCTAGCCATGAGGCTATTCTTCTAACTATGCTTTAATTTAAGAAACTTAAGTGTAGTCTCTTTTCTGAGGGACTCTGTCTTTACTGAAGAGTACTCCTTATGAAGATATGGATTGAAATGTCAGGCTTAAATTTAGCCATTGATAAATTGCCGTGTTCCAGTAAATAGCCTCCCACCATGCTTAGGCAAGCACTCCTAAGTAAACTCTGTGGGTTACTCTCTCTCTCTCTCTCTCTCTCTCTCTCTCTCTCTCTCTCATACACACACACACACACACACACACACGTAAATAAAATGTAAATGTTGGGAAGAAGGGTTTTAACAGAGCAGGGTGACAGAGAGGACATTAAAATGACTACAATTCATTATATACTGTGTGAAACTCTCAAAGAATTAAAATGGAAAAATGTGAGAAAATTCAAGTGAGGCATGAATTACTTTTAATATAAATGCATAGGTTATATCTATCTACTTTTAGAAAATATTCTGGACAGTTAGTAATATAAAAATATCTTCAAGAAGAAGATTAGCATATAAAGAAAGAGTAAAAGTTATATGTATATACTTAACACTTCAAAGGAATTCAGGGATGTGAGATTTGAGTTGCTGTTAAGGGAAAAACCAGCTTGCAGTTCTGATATTTCAATAAAAAGATGTATCAATATTGGGTGGTAGCTTTATACACTTAGTTCCCAAATTAATTTACTATAGGAATCCTTAATTTGAGTTGTTGGATACATGGTAACATGTAAAGTGTTTGATGATCATAACTTTAGGTACATTGCTGTCTGGTTTCCTCATGCAGTGGGCAGGTCTGTTACTAGCCCACTAACATCTCAGCCTCTGTTCTCTCCACTCTCCTCTCTCCCTTCTCAAGCGACATTTCCTACCAACTTGTTACCCTGTTGCCCTCTTCTTCTAGGCTCCTTGTTGCTGGAATTCTTTTGCTATGTTCTCCCATCTTCCCATGGCTTCATTACTGCCTACCCCCATCCCTGAGACACCGAAGAAGCATTCTGACCTACCCAGTCCCATGTAAACATTCCTGCCCTGTGCATTGTCAGTGCCTGGCCTGCGTCACCCACCTTGATATATGGCATAAGAACCACTCATCTGAGCCTCTCAACAGACTGAGGTCCCTGTCAGCAGGATCCATGACAGACCTGTTTGTTACATCACCAGTTCCTGTGACACACTCGTGCTTACTGATAAGGATGTTCCTGATGAAAAGTGGCCAGATATTTTATCAATTTATTTATTGATAAAAAACCCACGAAAATAGATGATGGCTTCTGGGGTCAAAACAGTAGTGAACAGGGAGTAAGAGTCCTGTGACCGTTTTCCTTTCCTTGGTGAGTGTGGTGTTGGGGCTCAGACCCAGCCCCTTTCAGGAGAGATAAGCACTGGACCACTGACCCGCATCCCCCAAACCCTCCAAAGCAGACACGGTAAGGGATTAATCACCACCAAGTCTACCCAGGGAGATGGGTAGGGTCTGGATTCACAGCGACTGAATCCAAACAACCCAGCCTAGGATGAGTATCTGCCTTTTGAATCCTCCATGCATGGTCAATGTGGCAGGTGTGGTAAGGGTTCCGAAATCTCACGGTGAACAGGTCTTATTTGAAGTCAGGAGTTCGTACAAACTCATAAATACAAAAGCAACAGAAGTTAAAAACCATAGAGTGTTTGACTTCCAAATGAAGGAAGGCGAGAGTAGCAGGTCTCGCCCCGCTTGAAATTTGTCTTTCTAGATGGAAATTCTCTTCTGAAAATGATCCCCTGGGGATTTTGACATTCCTGTCGTCCATCAGGGTTTCAAGTGTGGCCATGAAATAAGTTCCTTGAAACGAAATTAAACCTCTCCTTACAGGATGCTGTGATAAGTTCCACTTGTTGCTGAAACACCAGAGCACAACGGCTGTTTTCCATTTATCATGAGCGGAATATTGAGCTGCGTCTGAAATGGGGGAAATTCGCATTTACTAAATGAAACAGTGTCCCGCTTAAAGCAATAACAGGCCATTTTCTCTGCTCTCATGGTAGGAAGTGAGGTTTGAATGCTGCCTGCTGTGTGCGAAGTCACCCTGAACCTAAAAGGCATGGAGGCCCTGATTGGCCCCTTTACTATGTCTCCACACTGTTCCTGCATGAGCCAGAGTTTCTGTGACATCATCAAGAACCCAAGCATCAGTGGTGGATGCTGGGTGTATGACACGCTTCCCAATGAAGTCATTGAGATAGAATTATGAAATCTGGATTTCAACTTGGTCGCTAGATTAGCTGACCAGCAGGTTCTAGAGCCAGCCTAGCCGCTAACCCGAAATCCATCTAGACATACAACACATCCAAATTCAAATGCAATGGCATCACTGTAACCACAGGAGGAAAAAGTAATCACATAGTGCTAGTTAATGGAGAAATAACATTTGATCAAATACTCTCCAGGAGCATTATCATTGTTTTTAAACTCTCAAAAACCTAGCAATAGAGAAAACTTCTTCACAGAGAACACTGCAGAAGGCCTCCAGTGAGCTTCCGCGTAGGGCCAAGGGCTTGGATACTTTCCCTGAAGTCTGAGAACAAAGCCAGAGCTTCCTTCTCATCACTGGAGCCATAGCTAGTGAATCTCACACAAATAGAAGGTGTAGAGATTGGGGAAGAAGTAAAATAGCTTTATTTGGAGATAGCATGCTTTCCCCTATAGACAGTTCTAAAGAATCTACCAAAACCCTTTCGCACCTAGTGAGGGTAACCGGGTCATGGAAAGCAGATGGCCCGCAGCAAGGGCATCCACTAGACATCAGAAGCCAGGGGCTACCTATAAACAAACCGCAGAGAACACGGCATCTTCAGAGAGCTGGCAAAGGTGGGCGAAGTAGATCTTCACTCTTAGCTGCAGACAAGACAGAAAATCCAAATCAAGTTGTAGCTCTCCATGCTTGCTTTTCCTCTCGATTGCCCGTGATCCGCCCGTGGGCCTTGAGGAGGAGAAATCCTTTACAGGAGCAGTGTTCATCGGAGCCAGGGGGTGCTTGACATGGAATAAGAACCACATTGGGTCATCTTTGCCAGCCATTGTTACTATCAAAAGAACCAAGGGGAAATTTTCAAAAAACCAGAAACCCTAGTTGTGCTTCCCATCTGGTGTGAAATTACGATCAGAGTATTGTAGACATCTGCCTTCCCCAACAATTAATAATCCTAGCAGGAGAAAAGCCCTTTAGACTCAGACCTTACTTCACAGAGGGGGAGATTTGTCTATTCCGAGCTGCAGCAGGGAGTGAATGACTGCCGCTCTGCAGGTAAGTTCTTTCCTCGCAGAGACAATAGGAGCACGCGGCTAGCCTATTGCTAAGCTTTCTTAGTAGGAGCCCGTGGGAAAATACACCACCCATTTGATTAGGCTTTAAAATCCATGTTTCATAGAGTCATATCTTGGCCTGTTAATTAAGACCACAAATGACTACTCTGGCACTTACAGTTAAGTAAAAACTTTCCAATGGAGCTAATTATTTTGCATTATCTAAATGTTAACTGTAAGTGCTCTCCTTTTTCCTATTACACACGTCTCTGGAGCTAATTTTGTTCTGCATTATATGCCATTTTTCTAAGGTAAGATGGCAGTGTTCTTTGTCACTTAAAGGACAATTCATCAAGGAAGCACAGAAGTCAAGGATCCAACCGGCGTTTTCAAAGGCTTTGTCTACACAACGAAACACACAGCAGAACACTCTGAAGCGCCCCACTCCCGCCCCTGCCCAACCAGGACTTGAAAATAAGTTCTTAGAATGTGCAAGCAAATACTCATTCTAGGTTCTGTTCAAATCCATAGCAACATGCTACATACTTACACATATTTACTGGTGTGTTACTATGATTAAAAGGATGGATCATGAGGAACCAGGCACTGTGGCACAGACCTCTCGCTAATCCCAGCATAAAGGAGCAGATAGAGGCTGGAGGGTTTCAAGTTTGAAACCAGCCAGAACTGCACAGGGAGTTTGAGGCTAGGCTGAGCTATATCTTAAGATTCTGTCTCAAAAACAAACAAACAAATAAATAGTCAAGAAGCAGCTCAGTGGTAGAGCCCTTGCCTAGAGGACCCAAGGCCCTGGGTTCATTCCCAGGGAAAAGGAAAAAGGAAGGAAATATAAGGAGAGAGGGAGGTGAGAGTGGAGGGAGAGAGAGAAGAAGGAGCTGGAGAAAAAAATCTCTCTCACATATATGGAAAAATTAGAACATCTGCATGGTTCCTTTAAATGTGAGGCATTGTTCTGATTGGCTTAATCAGTTAGGCACCAGGCCGGTCTGATCTGGCTTGCACCAGTTTCCTTTGGTTTCCTTTCATTCGCAGAGTTTAGGCTAAAATTCAGGACTTTGCAGTATGAGGCAGGTGCTTCACCACTGGGCTTCATCTCTGCAAAAAAACCATTCTGGATGAAGGATGT